TCAGGCGTGTGCTGGCTCCATGCCCCACAGAGCGGTGCCCACAGCACTCCCGCGAGGTCATCTTTGATGTCCAGTGGTGTCTGGCGAGTTCCTGTGGCTGCCCAGAGGCCGCAGGGCCTCTCCGTAGTCGCCAGCCGCTCACTCCCTTGGCCTCCGGCCTCGTTAGTGGTAACTGCTCGCTCCTCTTCCCTAAAATAGGGCCCCAGCCTGGAGAGAGTTCAGCAGTGGACTCTGCGTGTCCCCTCTGGGGGCAGATCCCTCACTCTAGAGCAGAAAGCAGGGTGCTCCGGGGACTGGCCCGTCTCCCAGGAGAAGCTTCAGGGCACAGGGCGGTAGGAGGCCAGCGAGCCCAGCTCTGAGGGACAGGGCTAGCGTGCTTGGGCAGGGACCCCCTCCACCTGTCCCCAGCTTCCTGGGAGGTTGCAGGGCAAGAGCCTGGTGCAGGCTGCAGAGTTTCAGGAAGGCTCAGGCCGAAGCTTCTGCCTCCCTTGCCCAGTTGTTGGGGCCACCCTGCCTGTTCTTCTCCCAGGAGACAGCCTAGAGTGGTGGGAACATTTTCCTTCCCATTGGATGAACTGTGTGTGCACGTGCGTGCGTGTGTGTGTGTGTGTGTGTGTTCATCTATGTCGTCAGCCATCCTGTGACTGTTTCCCACCTGCTCCTACAAATGCCAGAGCCAGGGCAAGCATTTGGCCTGGGGGTTCAGACATCGGTTAGGACACCCGTGTCCCACATCAGAGCGCCTGGGTTCAATTCCTGGCTCCACTCCCTACTCCAGTGCACCCTGGGAGGTGGCAGTGATGGTTCAAGTGCTTGGGTCTCTGCCACCCACATGGGAGACCTGGATTTTGTTCCCAGCTCCTGGCTTCAGCCCAGTCCCACCCTGGTTTCTGTGGACATATGGGGAGTGAATCAGAAGATGGGAGTTCTGTCTCTGCGGTTCAAATAAATACAGTAATTAATTTTTAAAAAAGCTACTGGGCGGCTGGCATTGTGGTACAGCCAGTTAAGCCACTGCTTGTGACACTGGCATCCTCTATCAGTTGAGTCCTGGCTGCTCCAGCTCCCTGCTAATGCACCTGGGAAAGCAGCAGAAGGTGGTCTAAGTGCTTGAGCCCCTGCCACCCATGTGGGAGACCCAGATGGAGTTCAGGGCTCCTGGCTTCAGTCTGGCTCATCTTGAGCTGTTGCTATTCCTTTAGAGTGAACCAGCCAATGGAAAATCTCTCTCTCTCTCTCTGTAAAATAAAACACCAGACCCATGTAGCTTTTTTTTTTTAAGATTTCTTTCTTTCTTTATTTGAAACGCAGAGGCAGAGGTAGAGGCAGAGAGAGGTCTTCCATCTGCTGATTCCCTCCCCAAATGGCCACAACAGCCAGAGCTGGGCCGATCCAAAGCCAGGAGCCAGGAGCTTCTTCTGGGTCTCCCATGCAGGTGCAGGGGCCCAAGGACCTGGGCCATCCTCCACTGCTTTCCCAGGCCATAGCAGAGAGCTGGATCAGAAGTGGTAGAGCTGGGACTCGAACTGGCATCCATATGGGATGCCAGCATCGCAAGTGGCGACTTTACCCGCTATGCCACAGCACCAGCCCCCCAAGTACTTTTTTTTTTTAATTCATTTTATTTGAAAGGTTCGAGAGAGAGAGGGAGAGAGAGAGAGGGATCTTCCATTGACTGGTTGACTCCCAAATGCCTACAGCAGCCAGAGCTGGGCCAGGCCAAAGCCAGGAGCCAGCAGCCCCATGTGGGCCTCCACCATGGGTGGCAGGGACTGAAGTACTTGGAGCATCCTCTGCAGCCTCCCGGGATGGACCAGAGACAGGGTAGCTGGGACTAGGGCCGGGCACTCTGATATGGGGCACCAGCATCAGAAGCGGTGACTTTAGCGCTGCCTCCAGTGCCTGCCCCTGGACCCCTTGTGCTTTGTGTCCAAAATCACTGCCTTGCCGTGCCCTCCCCCACACAGACCCATAGGGGGCGCTCGGGAGACCAGAACCCACAAGCATGGCCGGGACCGCTGTCTGAATGGTCAAGGGCTCCTCCAGCCACTCTTAGGTTGTGAAGACCAAATATCCCAGTTCTGGGTGCCTGGGGCCCTGACTCCGCCAGCCATGCATCCGAGGTCTGCAGAGGGGCTGCCCATATGGCAAGAAGAGGGCTGGCTGGAGGAGGGCGAGACGCCACCGGCCCGGGCCTGGCCAGAGGCTGGGGGGACCGGCACTGTGTCCTCTGCAGCAAGAAGAAAGCTCATTTGCAGATGCTCAGGGCTGGAGTGTGTGCCAGGCCCGGCCAGACCGGAAGCGTGGGCTGCAGCTGACCCCCACCCCCGCTCTGCCCTCTCCTCTCAGCAGACACAGAAGCCACTTCAGAGAGCCTGGGAGAGGGGGAGAGAGAGAGAGAGAGGCGGGTGGGATGTGACTGGGAACCAGCCTCGGGGCCAGCCGGGCCAGGAACTAAGTAGATCCGGGTCAGAGGCCCATCCTCACCAGTCCGGGTCAGGGACGGGGGCTCCCATCCTGTGCTCTGCTCCACTGGGGCGCTGGCAATGTGGCTGCCCTGCACAGACACGTGCCAGGAGTGTGGAATACACACTGGAGCCTTCCCACAAGGATACAGACGGAACATCCCACTAGTCATTGCATACATTGAAATAATAACATGTTGGGTGCGTTGGGTTCCTGGAGCTGGAACAATCAGCGAAGGATGTTTTACAGAAGATTTTTTGAAAGATCACTGGATTTGTGGCACAGCAGGCTAAGCCCCTGCTTGGATTGCTGGTATCCTGTATTGGAGCTCTGTTTCAAGTCCCAGCTGCTCCACTTCCCATCCAGTTCCCTGCTAATATGCCTGGGAAAGCAGCAGAAGATGGCCCAAGTGCTTGGGCCCCTGCCACCTGCATGAGAGACCTGGATGGAGTCCCAGGCTCCTGACTTCAGCCTGGCCCGGCCACGGCTGTTGTGGCCTTTTGGGGAATGAACCAGCAGATGGAAAATCTCTATCACTCTGCCTTTCAAAGTAAATAAAAATTAAAAAATAAATTCCTATACTCTTAAAATTAATTTTAAGTCCTTTTTTTTTTTAATTTTTGACAGACAGAGTGGACAGTGAGAGAGAGAGACAGAGAGAAGGGTCTTCCTTTTGCCGTTGGTTCACCCTCCAACAGCGCCCCAGCTGGCAAGCTGCGGCCGGCGCATCGCGCTGATCCGAAGGCAGAAGCCAGGTGCTTACCCTGGTCTCCCATGGGGTGCAGGGCCCAAGAACTTGGGCCATCCTCCACTGCACTCCCGGGCCATAGCAGAGGGCTGGCCTGGAAGAGGGGCAACCGGGACAGAATCCGGCGCCCCAACCGGGACTAGAACCCGGTGTGCCGGTGCCGCAAAGCGGAGGACTAGCCTACTGAGCCGCGGCGCCGGCTAAGTCCTTTTTTTCAGGTGTATTTCATTTTTTCAAAGACAGAGTGACAGAGAAAAAAAGAGATCTTGCATCTGATGATTCACTCCCCAAATGGCCACAACTGCTGGGTCTGGGCCAGGCCAAAGCCAGGAGCCTGGAACTCCATCCGGGTCTCCCGCATGGGTGGCAGGGCCCAAGCACTTGGGCCATCATCCACTGCTTTTCTCAAGAGCTTTAGCAGGGAGCTGGTTCAGAGGTGGAACATCTGGGAATGGGACCAGCATTCCCATGGGATGCAGGTGTCATAGACGGTAGCGTCCTGACTCTGGCCCCATGAACTTCTTGAATCACCAGGGTAATGGTGAGTGTAACATCTTGGAAACTCAACAACTTAGGTCCCCACTGCCTCCTGCTACCCCCTTGTCACTGTTCATGCCTGGCAAGTAGACATCTTAACGGAGGGGTCTGTGTGGATCGGGGAGCAGGGAGGAAGGAGGTGAGGGGGTCTCTACCCCTTCCCATGGACCCTTCCACTCTGGCCTCCCCAGGGGCACAGCCTGAGCCCCGGAAGCGTCTTGCAGATGGAGCAGCTGGAACGCCCTGTGTCGGGGCCCCTGGCAACCTGTCTTGCCACATTCACCCACCGATTTCCAGGAAGCTGCGGAGCGGACTCTCGGACAGCTCCTCCCGGCCTGATCCCCACCCCTCCCCACTCTCTCCTGGTCCAGCTCCACGGCCTGCACCCCCAGGCCGTCTCAGATCAGTTCTCCACATCTCGGAGCAGAGTAAAGAAGGGAAGCCCTTTGCCTGAGCCCGGGCCCAGCCCAGAAGCTCATTAAAGCTTTCTCCCAAGCAATTAACCGGAAGGATGAGCCCTTTGGCTGGTCTGGAGCAGCGCCCACTCCCAGCAGGGGGTCTGGCAGAGAAAGGCTGAGTGGGTGGGCGGAGATGAGTCGCCTGCTGTCCCCCCTGTTGCTGTTGCTTGGGGGGGGCTCCTTTCTCCTCACCTAAATCCAACGGAAGCAGCCAAGGGCAGGGGCAAAGGCTGGAGCCCGGCTGGAACCCTAGCCTACTGCCAAGGCTGCAGGGAGGCCTGGGGAAGCCGAGGCACGGCACTGGCCATCGGCCCTGACGTCCGGAAAGGGGTTCCCCTGAAGGAGCAGTGGAGACAGGTTCTCCACCTAACTCAGGACCCACAGGCTTTGTGTCCCGCACGCCCGGAGCCGGTTGACACCATCCCCTTCCCACCGTCCTGGGAAGAGTGGGCCAAGGACAGAGCTCCTGAGGGCCTGATGGGGCTCCCCATGAGTCAGTCCCAGGGTACCAACCTTACCCTCCCCTCCCGACTTCACACGCGCCCCACCACCTGCACACAGAGCCCCAGGGCGGCCTCAGTCCGCATGGGGAGACCCAGGGCAGGTGGGGTGCTGACAGGTGGCTCAGGCTGGCCTGGGATTGGCTGCTTCTCCCTACAGCCTCTGGGGTGGAGGGTGGGGCTGCTTCCTTGCCCAGCACACTGAGTTGGGCCCAGCGCGCAGGTGCCCGCTCCCTGTCCCTTCCAGCCAGTCACGGCGCCTCCTCCTGTCTCTGCCTCCCATCCCTTCAGGCTCCTGAGCAACAACAAGATCACCGGGCTTCGCACCGGATCCTTCTCGGGCCTGTCCCTGCTGGAGAAACTGTAAGTGCCGGGGCCAGCGGGGGGTCACCCAGGGAGGAGGGCCAGGAGGGGAGGAAGGCTGGTTGCCTAGCAGCGCCCAGAGTCAGACCCGCCTGCACCTGCCCAGAGGTTGACTCCCAGGTAGGGGACAGAGGAGCCGGGCCTGGGAGCAGGAGTGAGCAGCTTCCTGGCCAGGGCCAGCACAGAGGATCCAGGCAGCTTCGCAGGGCTGGGCAGGGATGGGTGGGGGAGGGGGGGCTAAGGGAAACTCATTAACGCTCTTTAATGAGCAATTAGCTGTGAGGGCTCAGCCCTCCCAGCCAGGGGCCCAACTTGAAAGGGCTGAGGGCAGCCTCTTTCCTTCTCGGAAAAACAAATCAACAAACAAAGCCCCGAGGAGGCAGGGTCCTGGGCTGGGGGGTGGGGAGGAAGCTGCTCTCTCTGGCCTGCCCCACCCACCCTGAAGGAGGCTGCAGCGCTGTGGGCCCAAGCAGGCAAGCCCCCCACTGGACACTGCAAGGGCCTTGCTAACCCCAGAAGAACCCCCTTCGTAGAGTTGGGGACCCCAAGGTCTGCTTGCGGCCAGTGTGTGGGAGAGGGTTAGGGAGGAGGAGCTGGTGGTAGTGGTTAATTGTTCAGATGTCCCAGCCACTCAAGAATGTTCCAGAGGCTTTGGGGAGGGGCTGGATAAGCCGCCTCCGCCACGGATCCCTGAACCATGTCCGTCTACAGTGCCTGCTCTGCTGGCACGCTCGGGGAACCGTGGCCCGCGTGGCAGGTTTCCCACCCCAAGCCCTCGTCCTCTCTCTGCAATGCCTGCAAGAAGCCCCTCGGCCCCCCGTGGTTCCGTCTTCTCCCCAAATGTTTCGGATCAGTGCAGTGGGAGATGAGAGAGAAAAAGGCGCTGCGTGCTCACGGGGAGCGGGATGCTGTCTGCCTCGGCCCCGCTGTTTGGGTCTCTAAGCAGGCAGCCCGTGTCCACCGGCCTCTCGCCGTCTGCGAGGAGAGCTTGGTGGTCTGGAAGGGGCCAACCCCACACTCACGTCTGGGGCAGAAGGGCGGAGCGGGTCGTAAGCGCTGAGCTGGGGCCTCTGTGGGGCGGCGCGCGCATCCAGCTCCCACACTGGGTCCTTCTGGCCACGCGCCCCGCAGCTCAGAGTGGAGTGAGGGCTGCCGCTGCGTGCAGCTGATGTCTCCTTGGGGCCCACACACAGGGAAGGTTTCGCCCTCCTACAAGGGGTTAAGCGTTCGGGATGAGGCTTGGTCTTGGAGCGCCGAGCTGCCAGAAGCCAGGTGTTCCTTCCAGGGCGTTGTGGAGCGAGGCAAAACACAGCTGCCTCTCCAGCCTGCGTTCTGCCGCGCGCGCGAGGACCGGCCTCTGAGCACGGCTGCCTTCCTCTGCCTCGGCACCAGCAAGCCCGTCCGACTCCGTGCTGAGTCACGGGTATGGGAAGAGTGCTGGGCATGAGAAAGAAAACCGGAGCGAGAAGTCCCGGCCCTCGGGTGGGGGCGTCCAGCAGAGTTAAGTCACCACTGGGGACCCCCATATGCGGTATTGGAGCACCTGGGTTTGAGTTCCGGCTCCATTTCCAATTCCAGCTGCTTCCCTGGGCGGCAGCAGGTGATAGTTCAAGAACCTGAAGTCCTGCCACTCACCTGTGAGACCTGGATGGAGGTCCAGGCTCCTGGCTTCAGCCTGATCCGGCCTCAGCTGTTGCAGGCATTTGGAGGTCTGTCTTTGTCTCTTGCTGCCTTTCTTTCTTCTTCTTTTTTTAAGCATTATTTTTGTCTCTCACCACCTCTTTATTTCAAAAAATATTTTATTTCCTTATTTGAGAAGTGAAATTATAGACACAGAGAGAGACAGAGAGAGAGGTCTTCCATCCAATGGTTCACTCCCTAGATGGCCGCAATGGCTAGATCTGCGCCGATCAGAAGCCAGGAGCTTCTTCCGGGTCTCCCACACAGGTTCAGGGGCCCAAGGACCTGGGCCCTCCTCCACTGCTTTCCTGAGCCACAGCAGAGAGCTGGATCGGAAGAGGAGCAGCCGGGACTTGAACTGGTGCCCATATGGGATACCAGCATCACAGGGCAGGTGGTGGTTTTACCACTATGCCATAGCACTGGCCCCTCTCTCTGCCTTTCATAAAAAAATAACAATAATAGTAATTGCCAGCCCTGAATCCGAGCTTGAGCCCCTGGCCTTAGGAATCTCCCTTTGCCTTCCTCCTACAGGCACAGCACGTGCCCTCCTGTCCTGGGCTCCATTCTAGAGCATGGGAGTGAGCCCAGAGGAGCAAGTGCCTGCCCTCAGGGGAGGCGGCCTCCCGATGGGACCCAGAAAATAGCTGTGTGTCCTATGTCGGGGGCAGTAGTGCTGGGAGGGACAACAAGGCCAGATAAGGGGGACAGGGGAGGCCACGCTGTGAGGTGAGGACAGGGGAGGCCACTCTGTGAGGTGAGGACAAGAGCGCCTTGCTTGATGCAGTGGCAGGCCACAGCCCTTGCAAAGGCTCCTGGGTGCAGGGGATGCCGGGAAGAGTTAGAGGAACAGCGGGAGTGCAGCGGGAGTAGGCAGCCAGGAGGAGGTCAGAGTGAACAGGACACAAAGCGGTTGGGGGCTCAGTGTGCTCTTTGTAAAAGGACGAGGAGGGCGGCGGCGTGAGCCTGCAAGGTGCACTGTGCATTTAAGATTCTGTGACCCTTGGGTGTGTGTGGGCTTGCAGAGCTGCACAGGAAGAAGGCACAGAGCCCCGTGAAGGGCTGGGGCTGTGCTGTGTGTGCTGGAGGGGCTCAGGGTCTCCAGCCTGGCCACCCGCCTCTGTGACGCCGGGACGCGGCCTGGCGTGGCGAATCCCAGGGCTGCAGGCGCAGGTGCTGTCATCCTGGGACAGCTTTCCTGCCGGGAACCTCAGTGAGGGCTCTCGGGCCTCTGGCAGGGCGCAGCACCTCCACTAGCAAGGGCGGCCTCCCTCGGTTCCGGTCGTGGGCGTACTACCCCTCCACAGCCCAGCCAGGTTCACACAGAGACCTTGGCGGCACAGGCACTATCCCACGGTGGGAGACACCCGCATTTCCCTCGGAGGAGTCGATGGCCTGGGTTGCCTTTCACAGTACACGGTGATTCCCGTGGCCGTCCAGGGTTCAAAGCCCGCAGAGCACCCAACCCCTGGACTGCGAGCCTACACATCAAAAAAAAGGCGCCAAGGCCCTGTGTGGCACGGGTACGCAGGAAACCCTACTCCGTCTCGGACATCCCCTGCGACGTGGCTCATCAGCATGTCCCGAGGGAGGCGTGGGCCTGGGTCTCCCAGTGTCCACTTCACTCCCTGTGCTGAGGCCCACCTGCCTCTGAGAATGAGCTGTTGAGTGTCGGTGCAGGGGGCACCTTGACGGCCAAGAGTAGGGGCTCAGAGACATCCGCGCCATGCCTGTTTGGCAACGTAGGACCTTGAGGCCAGGGTGGGGGAGCCAGACTGGACACACTTCAGTGGGAGTGGGGCAGGGAGGGCCCCCAGGCATGGCTGCCGGTGGGACCCCAATCAGAGATGATCTCATGGGGAGACTCTGGTTCTGGGAGGCTGGGGTAAGACGTATGAGCAGGCCCAGCAGAGGAGTGCACAGAACGGCCCAGCAAGCACAAGGCTCGCTCGTGGGGGCCCTCCCCTCCGTAACCCTCCGCCGTCAGTGCTGCCCGGCCCGAGGGTGGCTCAGGACATGGGAAATCTTTCTGGGATGTGCCTGAAACCAGGGACGGAGCTGCCATGGGGCAGACACATACTCTCCCCTGCCTCAACCAAAGAGGCCAGCGTGCGTGCATGTGTGAGTGTGGCAATGGGCGTGGCCCCGGGGGGGCCTTGGGCGGGGAGCCTGGTCAGCCCTGGGATGATTTGCCATTGCCTAATGAGATTAATGAGCCCCAGGGGCTGGTATGCAGCGGGTGCTGGGGCGCTCATTAGAAGCAGATGCTCATGGGAACCACAGCGAGGGGGTGCGGTGGGGGCTGGCTCACACACCAGGTGGCTTCCATTAATCTGGGGCGGGGCCGAGGACCAGCACCCCTGCTCCACACGCCCCCCCCAGCTGGCTGTGTCCTGGAGGGAGCCTGCCCTTGGCCCCGGAAGGAGGCTGCCAGGTCCAGGGACAGCCTCTTGTGTGCTGTGGTAGCCCCAGCGCCTGGCACAGTGTACGTGCTCAATAAATCCTCGTTGCGCGACAGCAGGGACAAGTGGGCCCCCGGGGTGGGGGAGGGGCTGGAGCTGGGAGGAGGCTGGACCACGCAGGATTCTTCAGACCGCCCCTCGGTCTCTGTACCTGCAGGGGAGGTCTGGCCCCTTCACAGCCGGCCTGTGCATTCTCAGGAACCTGGAAGTCTTGTAGGACACGGGGAGAACTGCTCTGTGGCCTTGGAACCTATAATTTGGTTTCCAGCCCACGAGCAGGGAGGTCTGTCGGGGGCTGGAGGGAACCAGCTCTGGGCCAGCCTACCCTGTTGGAGGGTAGGCACACACACACACACACACACACACTCAGCAGCTCTGAGATGTAATTTGCATACCATGAAGTCCATGCGTTTAGTGCAGAGCCATGGTTTTAGTACCCCCTTCAGAGCCGTGTGATCGTCATCACCGAATTTCAGAGCATTTTCCTCCTGTGCACAAGAAGCCCGGGACCCTTAGCGGTCACTCCCCCTCCCCCTCCTCCTGCCTCCCCCGCCCCAGGCAACCACTAAGCTGCCATGGATTGACTGCTCTGGGCGTCTCCCAGAGGTGCAGTCATGCCATATGTCATCTTTCAGATATTTGTCACTCCGCATAGTGTTTTCCAGGGGAATCTGGGTCTTAGCAGGTACCAGGGAGCTTTGTTCCTTTTCACGGGCAAGTAATAGCCCCTGCGTGAATATACTATATGCTGTGTATCCATTCATCAGTGGGTGGACATCTGCTTTGTGGTGTTAACCAGTAATGCTTCTGTGGGCTTTCACCCACAGGCACTGTGTAGATGGTGCTCACTTTTCTTGTGTGTACGCCTGGGAGAGGAGCTGCCGGGTCATACGGCCACTCGGACTGCTACACTGTCTCCCTGTTTAGATTCCCATCAAGGATGTAGTCAGGAGCAGGTGTTTGGCCTAGCCATTAAGATGCTGGTTAAGACCCATATCACGGTGCCTGCATTCCAGTCCCAGCTGTGTTCCCAGTTCCAGCTTCCTGTTAATGCTGACCCTTGGAGGCAGCAGGTGACGGCTCAATTAGCCAGGTCCCTGGGTTGAGTTCTGACTCCTGCTGTTGGGGGCATTTGGGGAGTGAACCAGTTGATGGGAGTTTCTCTCTCCACCCCCCCAATAATACTATATAGTAAGGGCTTAAATTTCTCTGCATCCTCACGCGCCCTTGTGTTGTGAAGCGATATTGGTTGTGGTTCCGGTTTGTGTTGCTCTAGTGATTAATGATGTTGAGCTGCGTGTTTTGGGCTTGGTGGCTGATTGTATGTCTTTCTTTGAAGGAATGCCTGTTCAGATTCTTTGCCCATTTTTTTTTCTCAGCTGGGTTATTTGTCCTGAGTTGTAAGAGTTCTTTACACATTATGGATAGAAGTCCTCTATCGGATACCTGGTTTGCCCCCCCCCACCCCGCATTTAAATATGTATTTATTTGAAAGGCAGAGTGACAGGGAGAGAGAGAAACAGATCTTCCTCCACTGGTTCACCCTCTAAATGACCACAGCAGCCCAGGCTGGGCCAGGACAAAGCCAGGAGTCAGGAACTCCATCTGGTCTCCCACGTGGGTGACAGTGACTCAAGCACTTGGGCTATCTTCTGCTGCCTTTCCCAGGCCCATTGGCAGAGAGCTGGATTGGAAGCAGAGCAGCCGAGTGTTGAACTAGTGTTCTGGCACGGAACGTGGACGTCCAAGTGGCTGCTTAACTGGCTGCCACCAGTGTCCGCCCCTCCCCCGTCTTCCGCTTTTGTGATGGTGTCCTTTTTTTTTTTTTTTTTAAAGATTTATTTTGTTTATTTAAAAGACAAAGTTACAGATACAGGTAGAGCCAGAGAGAGAGAGAGAGGCCCTCCATCCCTGGTTCACTCCCCAGATGGCTGCAAAGGCCGGAGCTGAGCTGATCCGAAGCCAGGAGCCTCTTCCAGTCTCCCATGTGGGAGCAGGGGCCCAAGGACTTTTAGGCCATCCTCTACCACTTTCCCAGGCCATAGCAGAGAGCTGGATCGGAAGAGGAGCAGCTGGGACCAGAACCAGCGCCCATATGGGATGCCAACACTTCAGGCTCGGGCTTTAACCCATTGAGCCACAGTGCCGGCCCCATGATGGGTGGAGGTTTTAAACCTTATGTCCAGCTAACCAGTATTTTATTGTTCATGTTCCCAAGTTCACTTTTTTTTTTAAAAGATGTTATTTATTTAAAAGGCAGAATTACAGACACACAGAGAGAGAGAGGTCTTCCATCCGCTGGTTCACTCCCCAAATGGCCACAAGGATCGGAGCTGTGCCGATCCAAAGCCAGGAGCTTCTTCTGGGTCTCCCATGCAGGTGCAGGGGCCCAAGGACTTGGGCCATCTTTTATTGCTATCCCAGGCCATAAACAGAGAGCTGGATTGGAAGAATAGTAGCCAGGACTTGAACCAGCATCCATATGGAATGCCAGTGCTGCAAGCAGAGGGTTAGCCTACTACACCACAACGCCAGCCCCCCAAGTTCACTCTTACACATTCCACTTTCTGAGAAGGGTGTATGAGTTGTGGTTTTGTCACCACTAGAATGAAACATCTGAGGCAGGCTAACTTTATACAAGAAAGGGCTGAATTGAGGTTCCTGGTTCTAGAAGTTCACGGTCCAAGATCAGAGGTGTGTGTGTTGGGGGTGGGGGTCGTGAGCTCAGCCCTGGGCATGGCATCTTGCTGGCAGAGCCGGGAGGTGGCACAGGATATCACATGGCACGAGACAGGGAACGTGCTTGTCTGTCCATGTCCCTGTGGTCTTTTAGTCAGACTCCAGGATCCAATCAGGAGGCCCCACTTCACAACCCAATCCCCACCCCCTGCCTTCAGACTCCCTCGTGGGACTCAGTCCCCCGCCCCCCCAAACCCTTGCATTCAGGGAGAAAAATTGTCAAATCACAGCAGCGGGCAGAGGGCAGGACTTGCTCCCAGGAATCCTCCCCCTGCTTCTGCCTGGGAGGGTCCTTCTCCTTCCCATCAGCATAGCTACAGACAGAGAGGGCGCGCCTCGAGTCGAGGGGTCCCGGGCCAGCGTGGGCATCAGAGGACGCTCAGTCACCACACTGAGTCCCTCCCGGCTTCCCAGAACAGGGCTGTGGACGTGGAGACTCCACGTCACCTGTGTGTGCTTGGGCCAGCTGCCGCAGTCTGCGATCTCACCCAGATTAGACAATCCAGAGCAGGTGTTCTCTGTAAATTTATTTTTTAATACTTATTTGAAGGGGAAGGAGGGAGGGACAGAAAGAAAAAGAAGTTCTCTTCCAGCCCTTGGTTCACTCCTCTATGGCCACAACAGCCAGCGCTGGGCTAGGCTGAATCTAGGAGCGTCATCTGATTTCCCACACGTGGGTGGCAGTGGCCCAGGCACCTGGGTCATCACCTGCCACCCTCCCAGGCGCATCAGTAGGAAGCCGAATGGGAAGCAGAACAGCCGGGCTGGAACCGGCACTCCAATACGGGCTGCCAGCGTGGCGAGCAGTATCTTGAGCCCCGGCGCCACTCCGCCGGTCCCTGGAGCAGGTGTTCTTAGCCTGGGAGCCACAGGCTGCGGAAATGGTGTGCACAGTGCTGGCTTAGTGTGTTGGTGGGCGTGGGTGCCCTTGGCCGCCATCAGGTCTTGAGAAGGATATGCTAATGAGAAGGTGCCAACAGCCAATGTAGAGGGGACGTACAGGTCCAGAGGCCGCCAGGTTCTGTGGTCCCATGGCCTCCAGCCCCAGGAGGCCCCGGGCACCCCTCAGGACTGGGCCACTCCTCAGGCACCCAGCACCCATGGTTACCCCCAAAACCCCTGTGGAGGGGTGCGATGCAAGGGGAAGAATGCCAACACTGGGTGGCAGTTCCCTGCTCAGAGAGGCCCCGGCCAGCTGCAGGAAATCCAGGACAGGGAGAGGGGTTGGGCCCCGGGGGCCGCCTGGCTCCCATCTGCAGAGCATCCGTGGGGCAGGCGGGGGGGGGGGCGCTGCGGAGGGGGCCGGAGGAAATGAGAATGAACGTGAGTGGGGGGGGGAGGGCGAGGGAGGGGCTGCGGCCCCGGCCCTTGGCAGCCCTTGAAGGGGAGCGACACAATGAGCAGTGTGTCTCCCCCTGCCCATCCTGCACCGGGCGGGAGCAGAGCCCTGAGAACGGCCAGACCCCGAGGGGCCAGGGGCACGGTGGAGGCCGCACAGAGGGACAGCCGTGAAGGGAGGAAGCTGTCCATGCAGGCTGTGTGCCGCCAGGCCCGTCCGCCCTCAGGACACCAGCCATCCCTTGCTGAGGATGAGGCCGGGTTTCCGGGCCCCTCTGTCCCTGGCTGCACCCAGCACAGAGGCCGGGTGAGGGCCAGCACCCACCTTGGTCCTTAGGTCCTTAGGCCAGCACCCACCTTAGGTCCTCACTGGCCTGCCAGGTGGCAGGCAGGTCCCCAGGAGGTGGGACGGGGCCTGTCCCCTTGCCCCCGCCCAGAGTAGAGCCCCGGCCACTGTCCCCTCCTGTCTGGGAGCCACACCTCCTCCACCTCTTCCCTCCACGCCGCTGTGGGCTCCTCTGTGAACAAGCCTGGGCCCCCTGGGCTTCCGTGGGAGGCGGGCTGTTGATTGGTCACGACCTCTGTGGGGTGGGTCCTGCTGGGACAGCCATTTCCAGATGCCCCCGGGAGCAGCACCCTGCGGGACCCCCTGGTGCAGTGCTCACTCTGGCCCCGGTTGGCACCCGGTCACGGTCCCAGCTTTCCCAGGCCTTCTAGCCCCGCCTCACAGTCCCCATGCCTTCTCTAAGGTGTTTCTGACCAGTGCCTCACCCCCTCCCCCAACCGCCACCAGGGGAGCCAGGGAGGCTGAGACCTGTCCAAGGGGCGTCCCTAACCCACCGTCCCCAGCCAGTGCAGAGCAGAGCAGAGATTTCCGAGGAAACCAAGTCCCAACAGAACCCAAAGGCAGTGAGGGCCACCCTGCCCCCGACAGCCTCGGGGTGGCCCCGAGGGGAGGGCGGTGAGGCCTCTGTGTTGCCTCCCACAGGGACCTGAGGAACAACATCATCAGCACGGTGCAGCCTGGAGCCTTCCTGGGCCTGGGGGAGCTGAAGCGCTTGTGAGTGGCACGTCCCGACTCCCCCTGCCCCCAGCCTGCCCCTCACCCCTGAGGAGTGCCCTGGGATCCCCTACGCACCGCCCATCTCTCTGGCTCTGCCTCCCTGCTCAGGGCACTGGCCCATCTACTTTTGGTCACACCCCACTCCCATACACACACACAAGCCCCAGCCACCCCTCCACGCCCACGCATGCGGGGTCCTGGTGCTGCCGCGTAGCCTCATGCCCCTGAGGTTGTGCGTGCCTCTCTAGAGACCTCTCCAACAACCGGATTGGCTGTCTCACCTCCGAGACCTTCAAGGGCCTGCCCCGGCTCCTGCGACTGTGAGTGCGGGCGGGGGAGGCCCCCCACCCCCAGAAGGAGGCCTGGACCAGGGCGGGAGGGGGGGGGAGGAGGGTCCCATATACAGGGTGGAGGGAGTAGAGGAGCAGGCCATCTCCTCTCTGACCCAGGGACACCCTAAGACCCCCCCCTCCAGTACCTTACTATCCTCTGCCCCTTGCAGAAATATATCTGGAAACATCTTCTCCAGCCTGCAGCCCGGGGTCTTTGATGAGCTGCCAGCCCTCAAGCTTGTGTGAGTGTCTTCCTAGCCCAGGGCCCGTTCCCCTGCCCAGGAGGGAGCCACATGGCAGTGGGGTGGGGGGGAGGGCACCACTGGAGCAAGTAAAGCAGACTCTTTCTGAAACCATCACGCTCACCAGTTTGTGCCCGGGGGAGGGCCTGCACACCCCCACGCTCGCCCTTCCCCACCTGTGAGCCCACACTGACCCCCTCCCTCTTCCCGCCCTGCAGGGACTTTGGCACTGAGTTCCTGACCTGTGACTGCCACCTGCTCTGGCTGCTGCCCTGGGCGCGGAATCACTCGGTGCAGCTGTCGGAGCGCACACTGTGTGCCTACCCCAGCGCCCTGCACACCCAGGCCCTGGGCAGCCTCCGGGAGGCCCAGCTCCGCTGCGGTGAGGGGCTCCTCCCCAGCCCTGCCTGCCTCTGGCCCCAGCCCTAGAGCCCCCTCCCTTAGCTAGGCCCTGAGCGTGGCTGTAGGCTGGGCTGCTCCCTTTCCCTTCCCTGGCTTCCCTTCCCTTCCTTCAGGGGGTTGCTAGTTTGTGTTCCCAACCCCCTGGGGTGATGCAGAGAAGGGAGGGGGACAGACAGAATGGCACCTGTGCTTTGTCCCAAGAACACCTGCTCCTCCTTGGCTCTTTTCTGGCCTCTTCTCACGCCCCCCCAACCACCTCTCCCGGGGTCTCACTCACGCTCAGGCCCCCTGCTCCATGTCTCCTCCCACAGAGGGGGCCCTGGAGCTGCACACCCACCACCTCATCCCCTCCCTGCGCCAAGTGGTGTTCCAGGGCGACCGGCTGCCCTTCCAGTGCTCTGCCAGCTACCTGGGCAACGACACCCGCATCCGCTGGTACCACAACCAGGCCCTCGTGCAGGGCGACGAGCAGGCGGGCGTCCTCCTGGCCGACAGCCTCATCCACGACTGCACGTTCATCACCAGGTACAGGCCCCGCCGCGAGCCCGCCCGGAGGGCCGTGCCCAGCCGCGGAGGGTGGCTGTGTGGGCCCAGGACTGAGCCCTGAGTGCTCTGAGTGGAGGCCCACAGTCAGACGCAGGGCAGATTAGAATCTCGCTTGTGGAGCTGGGGAGCTGGAAGCTCAAGCTCTGACTATCCAGGGCATGCAGGAGAGGAGGCGTGTGTGTGCTCACAGCCTGGCTCAGTTAAAGAACCAAGGCTGAGGCTCGTGCAGGGGACAGGTGGGGGGGGGGGCGTGGCTGGCCTGAGAGCGCCCCACTGAGCCAGCCCGCCCGCCCTGCAGTGAGCTGACCCTGTCTCACATCGGCGTGTGGGCCTCGGGCGAGTGGGAGTGCTCCGTGGCCACGGCCCAGGGCAACACCAGCAGGAAGGTGGAGATCGTGGTGCTGGAGACCTCCGCCTCCTACTGCCCCGCCGAGCGTGTCGCCAACAACCGCGGGGACTTCAGGTGCAGGCCTGCTTTCTCTGCAGGGATCCGGGACCCCTGGCCCGCACGCTGCCCCGCCCCCTGCCCCCTGCCCCAGCCTGGCTCTTGCCCCTGAAAGCACAGGTGGCAGGGGCTCCCCATCTCTTGCCTTGGTTGCAGCCTGAGATGGAGCTCACCCGCCCCCTCGTCATGCAGCCCAAAACCTCGCTGTTGCATTTCCAGGGACCTTACTCTGTGTCTGAAGTCACCATCCGATGGGCAGGGTGCTGTCCAAGAACAGAAGGGTGCCTGGGGGCTTCCCTCCATTAAGAGCCCCGTCTGCTAGGTGCCCAGGCCCTGTTCTCCCCACTGTACAGCTGGCAACACTGAGGCCCAGAAAGAATCCTATCACCTGTGACAGCACCGTGCAGATCTCGGGGACCCCTGGAGGGCATCAGAACCCCCTCTCTTGCACCCCTCCCCCGGGCCCCAGGAGCCTGGCATTTGGGTTCTGAGGGCAGCAGGTGGTGGGGGAGGGTGGTGCCTTGCTCCAAAGACCCTGGGTCATTGGCAGCTTCCCGCCTCTGTCCCCAGGTGGCCTCGGACACTAGCTGGCATCACCGCCTACCAGTCCTGCCTGCAGTACCCCTTCACCTCGGTGCCGCTGAGCGGGGGTGCCCCGGGCACCCGAGCCTCCCGCCGCTGTGACCGAGCCGGCCGCTGGGAGCCAGGGGACTATTCCCACTGCCTGCACACCAACGATATCACCCGGGTGCTTTACACCTTTGTGTTGGTGAGGCCAGGGGAGGAGGGCGGGGCCCACCAGCGCCGGGTCTAGGGGACGGGGACACGGAGAAGCCTGCGGGCCCCAGGGGCGGATCCCCGGCCTCCGGGCTGCTAGGCTGCACGCCTCAGCTCCCCACGGCGTGCACACCTGTGGGTGGACGGGGCCCGGCGTCCCCCTGTCAGTTCCCACGGGAGTCCAGGAGATTCGGCCCCACCAAGGCCACGCTGAGGAAGCGGCTCAGGCCTCCCCCAACTCTGTCCACTACCGACACATAAAAACACAGCCCCACTGCCCATCCAAGTGGGTGGCACAGGCTGTGGCGGTCACCTCCTCCTGTCTCGGTTACCCCAGCAGGTGGACCACACACCCCTCACCCCTACCCCGGCAGTGTCACCCCGAGCACCAGCTCCCAGGGGCAGGTCCCCCCAGGGGCAGTTGTGGGCAGGAGGGACAAGGCAATCCTCTTTCTCCCCTACCCCCAGATGCCCATCAACGCCTCCAACGCGCTGACCCTGGCCCACCAGCTGCGAGTGTACACGGCCGAGGCCGCCAGCTTCTCAGATATGATGGACGTAGTCTATGTGGCTCAGATGATCCAGAAGTTCTTGGGTTACGTTGACCAGATCAAAGAGGTAACAGGGGAGCCCGTGAACCTCCCTGCGCCCCAGCCCCCAACCCGCTCAAGCCTCGGTCCTGCCCCACTCCCGTGTCCCAAGCCCCACTCCCACCCTCAGTGACAGCCCTGCCCGCCCACTCCCGCAGCTGGTGGAGGTGATGGTGGACATGGCCAGCAACCTGATGCTGGTGGACGAGCACCTGCTGTGGCTGGCCCAGCGTGAGGACAAGGCCTGCAGCGGCATTGTGGGAGCCCTGGAGCGCATCGGCGGGGCCGCCCTCAGCCCCCACGCCCAGCACATCTCTGTGGTAATGCGCTCCCCTCCCCCGGGCTTCGCGATAGAGGGAGAGTCCTCAGAGTGTGGGGAGGGGCAGGGGAGTGGCCCTCCCCATCCAGAGATGGGAACGCCCCACCCCCTCCCCAGGGTGTGCACCTGCCAAAGACTCCACTAGCGAGGACAGCTACCGTGAGCAGGCCCTGAGCCATGCTGTGTCCCATTCGGAGTCGTCCTGGGGCAGTGCAGAGGAGAGGGGCTGGTGACAGAAGAAACAGAAGGGGGGTGAAGGGACAGGAGGGGCAGGCCCCTGAGAGGAGGGTGACATCTCCCATTCGCTGGAGTCGTCTGCCAGTGAAGCAGCACAGGGTGCGTCTTCCACGTGCTCCGTCCTGGGCTGGGCACTTTGGGAGGGACAGAGCGCTGGATGTGGGGCCTGCTCTTGCAGAGCTGAGCGAGACAGGAGGGAGGGTGGGAGGCTCGGTGGCAGGTGCGAGGGAGGACGCCAGGGGCAGCGCGTGACCAGTGCCCTGCCCCTAGAACTCGAGGAACGTGGCCTTGGAGGCCTACCTCGTCAAGCCGCACAGCTACGTGGGTCTCACCTGCACGGCCTTCCAGCGGAGGGAGGTCAGCCTCCCCGGCGGGCGCCCCAGCAGCCCCGGCCACAGCCTCCAGCCTGAGCCCGAACCCCTGGCTGAGCAGCAGCTGCGCTTTCGCTGCACCACCGGGAGGCCCAACGTGTCCCTGTCTTCCTTCCACATCAAGGTGGGGACTGGGGGATGGGCTCCAGGACAGTGCGGGGAGAGGGGGGGACAGGAGGGGGCTGGGGGATGTCCCGAGTGTCTCTAAGGAGCTCCCATGTGCCCCCAGAACAGCGTGGCCCTGGCCTCCATCCAGCTGCCCCCCAGTCTGTTCTCATCGCTGCCGGCTGCCCTGGCTCCCCCGGTACCCCCCGACTGCACCTTGCAACTGCTCGTCTTCCGAAACGGCCGCCTGTTCCGCAGCCATGGCAACGCCTCCCGCCCTGGAGTCGCAGGGCCTGGCAAGAGGCGCGGCGTGGCCACCCCTGTCATCTTTGCAGGAACCAGTAAGGGACCGAGCACCCCCACTCCCACCACCACCAGGCCTCCCACGTGCCTGTCTGGGCCATGTCTGTGCCCCACAGAGGCTGCTGTCTCACTGAGCAACGCAAGGCTTAGGGAACACCCCAGCACAACTGTAGACAGAAGTCCCTGAGCAGGCAGCCCTGGAAAGAAGCCTTCTCGGGAGGCCATGGTGGGCAGGGGGGCTTTGGGACCATCGGCATTTCCAGAGACAGCAGGGAAGACAGACAGGGCAGGAGGGAGCAAAGGGGTGCAGGCGAGACATGCCATGTTGCACCAGCACCTCGCTCAGAGCCTAGATGGACGCAGCTGCAGCCCAACCCCAGAAGCCTGCCTTGCCCTCTCCCCATCAGTGAGCCCGTCCACTCCCCCCATGCCTGGGCCTGTCCTTGACCTTCTGTTTGCCAGATGCCCCCACACCGCTCTGCCCAGCCTCCCAGCCCTGCCTCTAACTCTGCCCACCTAGCACAGCAGCTGTTTTGCTGTCCCGCCCCCTCGCCAGCCTCCCTGATGGCCTGCTGTGTCTCCGTGTGGCTTCGACAGGTGGCTGCGGCGTGGGAAACCTGACGGAGCCCGTGGCCGTCTCGCTGCGGCACTGGGCCGAGGGTGTCGAGCCCGTGGCGGCCTGGTGGAGCCAGGAGGGGTCCGGGGGCTGGAGCTCTGAGGGCTGCCAGCTCCGCTCCAGCCAGCCCAATGTCAGCTCCCTGCATTGCCAGCACCTGGGCAACGTGGCCGTGCTCATGGTGAGTACGGCAGAGGGCCGGGGGAGAGGGAGTTTTGGGAGGCGGGAAACAAGGGGCCACTGAGCATGTGCAGGGGATGTGTGGGTGCCCTGTGGCCACGGGGAAATAAAGGACAGCAGCCCCACGCAGATGCAGCCTCAGCTGGCGGGACGTGGGGGGACCTGGCCTCTGGTCCGGGCCACACCTTTCAGGTGAAGCCAGGGAGAGAGATGATCTGGAACTACCCAGCCTGGCCTCCACAGCCTGCACTTCCTGGGACCCAGAGTCAGGTTTTTTTTTTTTTTTTTTTTTTTTAAGGATTATTTATTTATTGGAAAGGCAGAGTTACAGAGAGAGGGAGAGATCTTGTATTCGCTGGTTCACTCCCCAAATGGCTGCAACAGCTGGGGCTGGGCCAAGCTGAAGCTAAGAGCCAGGAGCTGCTTCTGGGTTTCCTGTGTGGGTGGCAGGGGCCCAGACACTTGGGCCATCTTCTGCTGCTTTCCCAAGCCATTAGTAGGGGGCTGGTTCGGAAGTGGAGCAGCCGGGGCTGGAACTGGCACTGATGTGGGATGCCAGCGCCACAGGCAGTGGCTTAACCCACTGCTCCACGACACGGGGACCAGGGTCCACGGTGTGACTAAAACTACCTGAGAACAGATCTCCGCTGTCTCAGCCCCCTCTCGCATCCCATTCTGTACCCAACTTTCGCAGACTCTGAGCAGGCAGGCAGCAGTGTCAGAGGACAGAGCTTCCCGCTCTGTCCTCATGTCTGAGAAGTTTCCAGAAAGGGCCGGGGACTGGGACGGGGAAGGCGGCAGTGGACTCCTGCTCCCTAAGGCCGACTTCCTGAGCGTGGACGCCCGGTGCTGACACCCTTGCCCGCCAGGATGGACGAGGCTCCACAGCTCAGGACGGGGGCCGGCAGGGCTCAGGAAGCAGAACTCCAACCCAGGGCGCTGGCAAGGCGTGCAGGCTGCTTACTTCCCCTCCCTGCCCCTCCCCCAGGAGCTGAGTGCTTTCCCCAGGGAAGCAGGGGGCCCTGGAGTGGGGCTGCATCCAGTCGTGTACCCCTGCACGGCCCTGCTGCTGCTCTGCCTCTTCTCCACCATCATCACCTACATCCTCAACCACAGGTGGGCGCTCCTGTAGGGAGGGCGGGCGTGGGGACAGGCAGTGGGTCGCCCCAAGGACTGGCGGGGCCCACGTGATACCCTCAGGCTCTTGTTAGCATGCTTTTTGGTGAAGGTTCTGGGGTTGGAAACACACCTGGGGAGTTGAGGACTTCATGTCCACGGCCTCTGCTGCATGTGGGCACGTGCACACCAACAGCCATCCGTTCGTGGCCTCGCCCCTCTGCTGTCCCGGTGGGCCTGGGACCCCCGTGGGCCTGACCTCAGGCTGTCTCTGGGGCAGCTGCATCCACGTGTCCCGGAAGAGCTGGCACATGCTGCTGAACCTGTGCTTCCACATGGCCATGACCTCGGCCGTGTTTGCGGGAGGCATCACGCTCACCAACTACCAGATGGCCTGCCAGGCGGTGAGCAGAGGCGACTGGGGGTTGGGGTGGGGCAGGGAGATGCACGGGAGGAAAAGTGAGGCTCCGCAGAGGGGCCCAGCGCCATCACTCTGCAGAGAGAACGAGCCGTGGGGGTGCAGGCGGGAAGTACTGCGAGAGGCAGAGTGCTGGGGGAATGCCGGGAGCAGCGGCCCAGTCCCCCAGCCTCGGTGCTGACCCTGCAGGTGGGCATCACTCTGCACTACTCCTCTCTGTCCACACTGCTCTGGATGGGAGTGAAGGCCCGAGTCCTCCACAAGGAGCTCACCTGGAGGCCGCCCCCTTCACAGGACGGGGACCCTGCCCTGCCTGCTCCCCGACCCATGCTCCGGTACGTGTTTCGCTGTGGGAGAGGGGTGGCCCCGAGTCTGAGGACATCACTCTCCCAAGCCAGAAGAGGCAAGCCCTGGGTGCTGCCGGGTTACCCAAGGCTGGGGGTGGGGGAGGGGTGCATCCTGCAGGCTTCTTGGGCTTGACAAGGCCAGGAAAGGCAGTGAGTCCAAAAGGGCATGGGGCAGGGGTCTGAGAACCGAGTGGCGCTCCTGACGCCTGCGCTGTTTGGGGTCAGAGAGAACGCCATCCCTTAGAATGGTCTTGGCCCCAGAACAAGCTGGGTCTGCTCTGCAGGGGGCCTGGCAGCCCTGACAGAGTCAAAGGGCAAAGATCGTGGCGCCGAGACGCCTCCAGGTCAAGGGTGCCTCTCTGACCCCCAGGTTCTACCTGATTGCCGGAGGAATCCCACTCATCATCTGTGGCGTCACTGCAGCTGTCAACATCCACAACTACCGCGACCACAGTCCCTAGTGAGCACTCCTGCCCTGGCGGGACAACCGGCCGGGGTCCACCCCGCCGGTGACCCACCCACACCCACGCCCACAAGCCAGCGTCTGTCTCCACTCCCATAGCCCGCATCCCACACCCCCTCCCTGACGCCCTGCCCGTATCTCCCTCAGCTGCTGGCTGGTGTGGCGTCCGAGCCTTGGAGCCTTCTACATCCCCGTGGCTTTGATTCTGCTCATCACTTGGATCTACTTCCTGTGCGCAGGGCTGCGCTTGCGGGGGCCTCCCGCACACAGCGCAAAGGCCGCTGGCAGCAGGCTGTCCGCGGAGCCTGGGGAGGAGCTGAGAGGTTCCGCACGGCTCAGGAGCAGCGGCGCCCTCCTGAGTGACTCGGGCTCCCTTCTGGCAACCGGGAGCACAGGGGTGGTGACCCCTGCGCCCCCGGACAGCGACGGCCTCTATTCTCCAGGGGTGCAGCTTGGGGCGCTGGTGACCACGCATTTCCTCTACCTAGCCATGTGGGCCTGTGGGGCTCTGGCCGTGTCGCAGCGCTGGCTGCCCCGCGTGGTGTGCAGCTGCCTGTACGGGGTGGCGGCCTCGGCCCTGGGCCTCTTCGTCTTCACCCACCACTGTGCCAGGCGCAGGGATGTGAGGGCCTCCTGGCGCGCCTGCTGCCCGCCTGCCTTGCCCGCGGCCTCCCACGGCCCTGCTCGGACCCTGTCCGCCGCCCCAGAAGATGGATCCCCGGTGCCGGGAGAGGGGCCCGCAGGCTCGCTGAAGTCCTCCCCGAGCGGCTGCAGCGCCGGCGCGCCCCCGGGTCCCTGCAAGCTCACCAACCTGCAGCTGGCGCAGAGCCAGGCATGCGAGGCGGGCGTGGCGGTGTGCGGGGAAGGGGAACCAGAGCCAGTGGGCTCACGGGGGAGCCTCGCTCCCCGCCACTCCAACAACTTGCACCACGGCCGCCGAGCGCACAAGAGCCGGGCCAAGGGGCACCGCGCCGCGGAAGCCGGCGGCAAGAACCGGCTCAAAGCCCTGCGCGGGGGTGCAGTGCCTGAGCTGCTGTCCAGCGAGAGCGGCAGCCTGCACAACAGCCCGTCTGACAGCTACGCAGGCAGCAGCCGCAACAGCCCGGGCGCCGGCCTGCAGCGGGAGGGCGAGCCGGCGCTCACGCCGTCCGAGGGCAGCGACACGAGCGCCGCGCCGCTCCCCGACCTGGGCCGGCCGGGCCAGCACCGCAGTGCCAGTCGCGACAACCTCAGGGGCGGCGGCGGTGGCGGCGCGTTGGAGAAGGAGAGCAAGCGCCGCTCGTACCCGCTGCACACCGCTAGCCTCAATGGCGCCCCCAAGGGGGGCAAGTATGACGACGTCAATGTGACGGGGGCGGAGGCTGCTGGGGGCGCCTGCATGAAGACGGGCCTCTGGAAGAGTGAGACCACCGTCTAGGGTGGGCGTGGGCCATGCATTAGGACAGGCTGGCCGCACGGGCTGAGCCCCTCCCACTGCGGCCCAGGTGCCCATGGGTGCTCACCTGTAGCCCTGGCAGGCTGGGGAAAAGGAGAAAGGCAGAGGCTGGTCACTTGTCCTGAAGGCCATGCCCCTGCTGCAGCGACAGACAATCCCAGAAACACACATAACCTGTTTCCGTCCAGCTCAGGCCAATTTGGACAGTCAAGCTAGGGGTACCCTGCCAGGGAGGCCCAGCCCAAGAAGGCTCCTGCCTCAGCACCCCCACCCCCCACCCCTGACATCAACCCTACCAGGAAAAGCACAGATGACCAGGGACGCTGGGGACTGGGTTGTCCGCTCACCGCCTCCCTCTGCAGGTCGGCCGCTTAGGGCATGGCTTCTCCCCAGCTTCTGGCAAAGGGAGCCAGCCTAGCAAGGAGCCAGGTGACTAGGACCAATGGGAGGGGACCAGGTGCTGCTTTTCAGACTAACTATGCAAGAGGGGAGGGCGGCAGGACTGGGGACCAACCAGTCCTGTAGGGAGGGCAGGTGGGAAAGGGCACAGCTGGGGCTGAGGCACGCTTCCCAGAGGAGAGGCCCACAAACTACACAGCAGAGCTCAGAGCCCGGCGAGACAGGGGCGGCCCTACTCCTGGGAGCCGAGCCTGCCTGGTGCCCGCCATGACCCGAGGGAACCGTCCTGGGGTCCCGGCAGGACTGTCACACCACGACGGATGCTCGGAGGAAGAGCTGCACCACGAAGGCTGAAGCTCTTGGGCCAGTCGGCGAGACCCAAGTCTCACCCGGGCCCGCACCGCCGCGGCGTGAAGGAAGAGCGTCCTTGCCTCTGGGAGGCTGTACCGGAAGCTCCATCTCTGGCTCTACCAGCGGAGCCTGCCGGATGCCACGAAGTGTCCCGACTCACAGAGGCCCTGAGGCAGCCGCTGGGGTCCCCCCCACCCCTGCTCAGCAGGGACTGTGCCTTCGCCACTGTTCAACACCAGCACTCATGTTTTTCCCACCCTTTTACCACAGGACCAAATGGTGTCCTTGTGAGGAGCGGTTGGAAACCCAGGGGAGGGCCGGGTCCCCTCCCGGCCTCCGTGTCAAGCCGGCCCGATCACCAAGTGAAAGAGGACGCGGGCAGGGGAGGAGGCCCATGCCCGCTGGAATGGGTCCTGTTATTTATGCTTGCTGCACAGACTATTAGAAGGAAAAAAAAAAAAAAAAAGCTTTGTATTATTCTTCCACACATGCTGGCTGCTGTTTACATACCCTGCCAATGCCTTAGCACTGGAGAGCTTTTTGCAATACGCTGGGGAAAGGGGAGGGAGGCAATGAAAAGTGCCAAAGAAAACATGTTTTTAAAGGCTCAAGTTTTATACAATAGAATGTTTTCTAGCAGATGCCTCTTGTTTTAATATATTAAAGGTTTGCAAAGCCCTTTAAGCTATAACCTTAGTGTACCCACAGTCCTTTTGTTATGAGACCCAGGATCTCATGACACCACACACACAAACCCGCCGATGCCTGGGAAAGGACATGGGCCCCAGAACCCCCGGCTCCTGCTGCTCCGAGGGCCGATGCCGGCGCCCCGGCAATGCCGACTGCTCCACAGGCAGCAGGGACGCCCCGCTGGGCCTCTAGAAACCTCAGGAGCACCGAGTCCAACTCAAACCGGGAGCGAGGGACTGACACGTCCCCAACCGCTGAAGAGAAAGGCATCCACAGGCCAGGGGCAGACACAACTCGCACCCGGCACCAACGGATAGGGAGCACTCCTCCCGAGCCCTCCCTGCACTCCTGACTCCTACTCTGAGCCCCTCTCGTCCCTTCCAACGACAAACAGCGCCTGTGTGCTCACAGACACTCACTTCCCCAGAAGACAGGCCCATCACCAAGCTGCGATGGGACGAGGTGAGGCGGCCCCGGCTCCTGTCCCGCCATGGCTGTGTGTCAGGGCGGGTTGGGGACACGCCCGGCGGCCTGGCTCGCAGCCTGGGCTCTCTGAAACTCCCGCACTTCCTGGGGGGTGCGCAGATACTGCTCTATCTCACTATCAGAAATGTCCTCATCTCCAGTGACCGTGGACACCGATGGGGTGGGAGGGATCCGCTTGGGGGGCTTCAGCATGCAGGGGGGAAGCAGGGGGACAGGACTGGCTGGCCGCTTCCGCTGAGGCAGACCCGAGGAGCTACCCGCCGCCGCCGCCGCCTCTTCGCCCTGTCCTTGCTCCGGCCCCTGCCGCCCCGGCTCCCGGGCCTCCGCTTCCGCAGCTCCGTCCCGGAAGGCCGCCCGGACCAGCGTGTGGCGGTGCTGCAGGAGGTCCCCGATGTGTTTCACCACGGACCGCTTGTCGAGTTTCAGGACCTGCAGCCAGGCCAGCTGCCCGGCCATCCGCAGCAGCACAGCCAGCAGCTCCTGCAGGCGGGAGGAGGCAGGGTAGGGCAGGTCCACGCTCGCCAGTTTACAAAACCGGGCCAGGGAGCACGTCAGCCGACCCGAGGGCCGCAGCGACTGCCAGGCCAGGAACGTGGCCGCCGTGATGACAGGCAGGGGGTGCCGCCCGGTCACCAGCCACGTCTCGTTCGCCAGCTCCACCAGCTGCAGAGTTCGCGCCAGCATCTTCTCCTTGTCCTCCACATATTTGGCCGGCACGGAGGCGGAGGCCTGGAACAGTTTAAAGCTGAAACAACCACAGGGAGGGTCAGGCCTGCGGGGCTGAGTGAGGAAAGGCGGGCCATTCAAGATGGGGCCGCTCCCGTCCTCCCGGGGCCGCTCGCGCTCACTGGGCAGCGAGGTGAGGGTGCTGAGAACAAACAGGCTGTCTTCTCTCGTTAGGCGAAAGGCAGACCAACGCCAGGCATCGTGAGTGCTTTCCAACGCACTCGCTTCATCTACACCAGGTGCGGGGAAGGGCCAGCCCGCAGGGCCCATGAGGCCTGCGACATCCCTTGGTCCAGCCCTCCCAGGACAACCACGGGCTGGCCTCCAGGTTCAGTCATCAGCAGGCGAACATTCTGTTCAGCCCGCAAACGTTTTATAAATATGGCTCTGCCCAGCCCTGACGTAAGCAAACACACTCCCTGTTTCGCGTGCCTATAGCTGAAAAGTTGGCCCACAGTCACCCAGCTAGGGAGTAACCACGCTTCAAATCCACCAGTGCCCTTGGAAAACAACAGGGCCGCTTCCCAAGAAGGCAGGCTCCGTCTCTAACCTGGTACGAACCGACGCCTGCTGGGCTGCACTGGCAGACAACCCGCCGAGCCCAGGCTGCCGCACGCAGCCCCGAGCAGCCCTGTGCCAAGGCTAACACCCACGCGTCCTATGTCATTAGGTTGCTGGGGAGGCAGAGAGGTTTGAAAAGCACAGCACTCTAGAAACGCACAGTGCTGTCAGCCCCCCCTAGTAGCAGGCACGGTACAGGATGTTTTCCTCCCACGCCCTTTTAGGTGGGCTGTGGTCAAAGACAGCCACAGGCAGGACTTCAGGTCTCGGGACCTGCCCCGCCCCACCCCGCCCCAGGCACCTGCTACAGTAGGTCTTCACCAAGTCTGCCAGGCACAGGGACGGCACGTCCAGCCCCAGCAGCTTCACCATCTGCAGGTAGGTGCTGGAAAACACGTCCAGGTCTGCGTAGAGCAGGGTGCAGATGGTCCCCATGGTGAGCGGCCAGTTATGCTGCCGGCAGGTGATGAGGACGCAGCACCCAACCAGCACCTCCTTCTTCTGCAGCCTGGCGGCGCGGATGCCGGAGTGCCGGTACGCCTGCCGATAGTAGGCGACCGCCGTGTCCTCAAATGTCGGTGGCAACTGCAGAACGCGGCACAGGTCTCTCACTCGGCGGAGACCTTGGGAGACCCATGGCAGGAGTTAGAGCGGGCACGGGAGCGCCTGTGCAGCACCCGGCATATTCTGCTAAGCTAGCCTCGGATAACGGATGCACACATAACTGATCTTTCTGCACCCACAGGAGCGACGCCTGGGGAAGCCACTGCTTTTATTTTTTAAGTAAAATATATTTATTTATTTATTTAATTTGAAAGGCAGAGTTACATAGTGGGAGAGACGGAGAGACAAAGGTCTCCCATCTACTGGTTCACTCCCCAGATGGCTGCATGGCCAGGACTGGGCCAGGCTGAAGCCAGGGGCTTCATCTGGGTCTCCCACGTGGGTGCAGGAGCCCAGGCACTTAGGCCATCCTCTGCTACTTTCCCAAGCATGTGAGCAGGGAGCTGGCTCAGAAGCGGAGCAGCCAGGATTCAAACTGGCACCCATACGGGATGCTGGTGTCACAGGAGGCAGTTTAACACGCTACGCCACAACGCCGGCCCCCCTGTGGTCATTCTAAAGGCGCAAACACCTCGGTGGCAAGAAGTCACACTTCAGCCCACTGTCGTTTGAAGGCTGGTTTGATCCAGGCTCCTCGAGGCAACCTCGAACATGCTGAGCAGACCCAACACTTAGACGGACGCGCTGCCACTCTCGGAGCCGTCTCCGGCCTTGCTCATCACCCACCATTCTACTCTACCCGACACGAGTGATGCTGAAAACAGGAGAGGGAGGCCGCCGGCGGGGCCCACGGGGCAGCTCCCGTGACAGCCGCTGCGCCGTAGAAGGTTGACTCTCACCTCGCTGCTGGCTGCGGCTCGCCTGCTCGCTTTCCCCTGTGCTCCGAGAATACGTGACTTCTGCAAGATCACGGACAAGAAACAACACGCTCAGCCCTCCCGCATCACAGCCCCGCTCCCGCACCCACACCAGGGCCAGGGGCAGAATTCCAGTCTCCGAGCAGCTCTGAAACTTAGCTTTGATTTTATTTTCATCTACTTGGAAGGCACAGCAACACAGAGACAAAGACGGAAAGAGACAGCGAGAGATCGTCCCTCTGCCGGTTCGCTCCCCAAATGCCCACCAAGCCAGGGCCGGGCCAGACTAAGGTCAGGAGCCTGGAACTCCACCTGGGTCTCCCCCAGGAGCAGCAGGGACCGGGCACGGGAGCCATCATCCAGGCAGCATTCGCAGGGAGCTGGATCTGATGCAGAGTAGGTCGCTGGGACTGGGACAGGCTGCAGGCGTCCCACGCAGCAGCTTAGCCCACTGGGACACAAGCCCAGCTCTCTCCACCCCTGCCCTGCCCTGCCCGCAATCCGTCCACAGCAGTCTCAGATACGGAGTTCGAGGAAGGCTGGTACCACAGCAGTCTCCCTAAAGAGCACCAGCTTTTCAGTCTCTCTCTTTTACACCCAACCCAAGCAATTTTCCTGGCTGCGGATTTTTGGATTTTGGACTAGTCAGGGATTTGAAAAGCAATGCAAAGGGAGGGGAAAAAAAAAAGAGGGAGTATTTGTGCCAATGAAAAGCTCTTCGGTTAAACAAACCGTAACCCTAACCCTAACCCTAACGTGCTATAGTTGCAAGGAACTGACCCACGACCGTCCACCACGACCAGACCGGGCAGGTCGAGCGGAACTGGTTTCTGTTTCGTTTATTCAACGTTCGTTGTACCCAGGACGAACCTGGGTGCGTGGGGAACCCGCGAATGGGAGTCCCTGGCCGCCTGCAGAAGCCCGTCTGCTCCCGTATTCAGGGCTGCGCGGGACAGGGAGCGCGGAGCTAGGGAACGCGCGCTATCCCCCCCTACCCCATCGACCCCAGGCAAGGACCCGCACAGGTACCTCGGAGGTGGCCCTCGTCGCTGTAGGTGGTGGTAAGGGTCCCCTCAGTGACCACGCAGCCACAGTCGGAACACACCAGCTGGCTCTGCGAATAGTGCGAGTCTTCCACAAGCTCAGCCGAGCCGCACTCGGGACAGCGGCCTCCGCCCGGCATCTCACAACACGCCGCCGCAACTGGCGCCGCCGCCGCCTCGAGAGCCAGCGACAACCACAGCGCGGCTGGAACTGGAAGGGGACCCTTTTAACAGCTGCACCTTCCTCTTCCGGCCAAAGAGCCGCCGGGATAGGTACTTCGCTCCGGCCCCGCCCCGCGACTGAGAGTCACTTCCGGTCTGTGCCTGTCTAGACTCCGATAGGAACATGAGCTAGGAGAGAAGGATCCTGGGCTAAACTGCTCCGGTCCTCAACGTAGTTTGATGTGGATCAGACTGGTGGCGTTGAATTTGGATGAACATTCTGCCTTTATGGACAAGTACAACAGACTAAAAATTTTTGTCATCCCCAACAACCCTCGCGCTTAAGCGCTAGGGGACTCGCGGATTCCCCACTTCTTTTTCCGTTGATTTTGGCTGTAGTATAAAGTCTATCTCTAAAAGGAAAAATTACGTAGCAGGAAAGCAGGACATTCTATTCTACTTTCCCGGGCTGCTTCCCAAGGAAGTGTGAGTGTCCTTTACCCAACTGTAAAATGAGGGCCGTTGAGGGGCCATTGCTGTGACACAGCGGGCTAATCCTCCGCCTGCAGTGCCGGTATCCCATATGGGCACCAGTTCAAGTCCCAGCTGCTCCACCTTTGATCCAGCTCCCTTCTAATGCACCTGGGAAAGCAGCAGAAGATAGTTCAAGTGCCTGGGCCCCTGCACCCACCTGGGAGACCCGGAAGATGCTCACCTGGCCCAGCTCTGGCCGTTGCAGCTATTTAGAGAGAGAACCAGCAGATAGAAGATTCCTTCTCTCTCAATCTCTCTCTCTCTCCCTGCTGCCCCCTAACTCTGCCTGTCAAATAAATAAAAAATAAATATAAAAGAAAAAAAATGAGGACATTGAGTTAAAATCCAGGGGCAAACTCCAATGCTTTGGGAAAGCCAGAGAAGGAATTTCTGCCAGAATTTGGAGTGAAAGAACGTGGAGTGGTGAGGTTTTTGATAGACTCAAGGGCATACGCAGATTCAGGAGATTTTAAAGCCTTGGGCTTTTTTTTTTTTAAAGATTTATTTATTTGAAAGTCAGAGTTACACAGAGAGAAGGAGAGGCAGAGAGAGAGAGAGAGGTCTTCCATCTGCTGGTTCACTCCCCAATTGGCTGCAACAGCTGGAGCTTCTTCCAGGTCTCCCATGTGGGTTCAGGGGCCCAAGGACTTGGGACATCTTCTACTGCTTTCCCGGGCCATAGCAGAGAGCTGGATCAGAAGTGGAGAAGACGGGTCTTGAACCAGCATCGATAAGGGATGCTGGCACTGCAGGCGGCAGCTTTACCCGCTACGCCACAGCCCCGGCCCAACCTTGAGCCTTAAGATGCTCCAGGATTCTGGCTCTGAAGCTCCTAGTCTGCTATGGTCTAGTTCAAACCAGTTCCAAGAAATCTCACCTCTAGCGGTGACATTAACCAAAACCGACCTTAGAAATCTGGTGCCGCGGTCTGACTGTGTTCCCCAGAATTCATGTGTTGGGGAAACAACCCCCAGTGCAGCAGTGTGTGTGGAGGGGGGCTGCCTTGGGAGAAGGGTTTGGGTTATGTGGGCCCTGACCCTGGGAATTGAGCCAAACTTGCAAGCTGGGTTTGGTCCTTTAGCTCTTCCACCTTCTGCCACGTGGGGGCAGTGTCGGCCCCTAGCGGGATGCAGCCTTCAAGAGTGCATTTTGGAAGCAGAGAGCAGCTCTCATCAGAGGGTGGGTGCCTTGACCTTGGGTTTCCTCGTCTCTGGAATTATGAGAAAATAAATGTCTGTTCTTCACAAGGTACCTGCTCTGTTGTAGCAGCAGCACAAATGGGATAAGACAGATTATATATTATGTTTGAATATGAGCTAAAAACAGGTTTTTAAAAATTTATTTGAAAGGCATATGACAATGACACACTCACAGAGGAGGAGGAGGGGGGAGAGAGAGAGAGAGAGAGAGAGAGAGAGAGAGAGAGAGATCTTTCATCTGCTGGATCACTTCCCAAATGTCTACAGTAGCCAGGAATGGGCCAGACTGAAGTCAGGAGCCGGGAACTCCATCCAGATCTCCCCATGGATGGCAGGAATCCCAGTACCTGCGTCATTTTCTGCTGTTTCCCAGGTGCATCAGCAGGAAGCTGGATTGGAAGGCGAGGCGGGACTCAATCCTAGGCGACAACTCCCAAATGGGATGCGGAGCCCAAGTAGCAGTGTAAGCCACAGTGCAATCCCTATATGTTCTTTGTATGTGATTTTTAGTTTTTGAGAGGTGAAGGGTGGGGAGGAAGAGTGCCCCCATCCCCTGGTTCAGTTCCCAAATGCCCACAACTGCAGGGGCTGGGCCTGTCAGAAGCCGGAAGGCAGAAACTCAATCCAGGTCCCCCATATGGGTGGCAGGAACCCGATTACTGAGTCATCACTCTGTCCTGCAGGATTTGCATTAGCAGGAAGCTGGAGTCGGGGGCCACAGCCAGGACTCAAATCGAGGCACAACGCAGGCATCCTAACCAATGTCTTAACCACCAGGCTTAGGCACCTGCCCCAAGAGTATATGTTCTCGTAAGTCTAATATCACTCATTACAAATAGCTATGTTTGTACTTGAGAGTTGTATGATCTGTTGTATGTGAAAAACAAGAATGTTGAACCAACTAGCCAGCCAGAGGAAGTCCCAGAGAGCAGCAGAGTCCTGGTGCGTGGGGAACACGGGGTGGAGTTCCGTCTCTCAGCCGACAGGGGGAGCTGCAGACAGGCCCCTGGCATTTGCAGACGTTCTAGCATGCAGAGTGGGGTAGACAGTACTATGAGAACAGGAAATGCATAGGTCTCGTGCAGACTTGAGGGATAATAAAGATGTCTGCTCAGCCCCTTGACCAAGTCTCTCCTTGAGGAATAAGATGCAGGTTAAAGCTGCTTTCTTTGTCCTTTTTTGTTTTGTCTTTTAATTTTTTTTTGTTTAGTTTTAAAATGTATTTGAAAGAAATACACAGGTAGATCTCCCATCTGCTGTTCACGACCCAAATGCCTGCAATGCCGAGGGCTGGATCAGGCCACAGCTGGGAGCTGAGAACTTGGTTCAGATCTCCCATGCAGGGGGCAGAGACCCAGGTGCTTGAGCCCTCACCTGCTGCCTCCCAGGGTGTGCATTAGCAGGAAGCTGGAATGGGGAGTGGGGCCAGGAGACTTGCACCCCAGCACTCTCACATGGGATGTGGGCATCCTTAGCCACTGCATCGAGAGCCTGCTCCCCGCAATTGCTTCCTTTAGAAGAGCAATAGATTGGGGCCAATACCATGGCATAGCAAGTAAAGCCACTGCCTATAGTGCCAGCATCCCATAGGGGCGCCAGTTCGAGTCCCAGCTGCTCCACTTCCGGTCCAGCTCCCTGCTAATGAGCTCAGGGAAAGCAGAGGCAGATGGCCCAAGTGCTTGGGGCCCTGCACCCATGTGGGAGACCCAGATGGAATTCCAGGTTCCTGGCTTTGGAACTTTGTCTCTGTTCACCTCTCAAATTTTTTTTAAAAAAATCTTTTTAAGTAGGATTTCGGCCAGCGCCACGGCTCACTAGGCTAATCCTCCGCCTTGCGGCGCTGGCACTCCGGGTTCTAGTCCTGGTTGAGGTGCCGGATTCTGTCCCGGTTGCTCCTCTTCCAGTCCAGCTCTCTGCTGTGGCCAGGGAGTGCAGTGGAGGATGGCCCAGGTGCTTGGGCCCTGCACCCCATGGGAGACCAGGAGAAGCACCTGGCTCCTGGCTTCGGATCGGCCCAGCGCCAGCCGTAGCAGCCATTTGGGGGGTGAACCAACGGAAGGAAGACCTTTCTCTCTGTCTCTCTCTCTCTCTAACTCTACCTTTCAAAAAAAAAAAAAGTGGGGTTTCGATTCCGCTTTCCTCAACATTGCTCACTTGAGGTGGGAGGGTGGCTTTATGGTCTGCACCCAGGTTAAAGGGCAGAAGAGTGGTTCTCTTTTCCAAGTCTCCCGCACACCCTGTACGGAAAGCACTGGTTCAGGAAGAGCCTTGTCCTCAGCCCCGGGCAGGCGGGGCACAAGCAGGGCGGGAGCCTGCCAGAAGGTGGCGCTCTCCACTCACTCAGGAAGGAATCTGCTGCCGTGGGAGTTGGCCGTGCTCCGGGACAGACCCGCTGTCCTCAGGGCCTCTTCCACCGCTACAGACCCGCTGTCCTCAGGGCCTCTTCCACCGTTACAGACGCTTCTGACTGTTGCTGCCGCCGTGATGCCGAGCGCCCAGAGGGACTGCGTTGGGGTGGGAAGCTCCTGGGGAAGGCAGCGCCTGTGTGATGCTGACGTGGAGGGGAGCCCGGGGCAGGCCTGCAGGCAGCTCCCCTAGCGCAAGCTCCCCCGGCTAGATGAGCACCTTGCTGGGCTTGGTTTGCCTCTCCTGTGCCCTCGGATGGAGGCCCCTTGGGGTCCTGGCAGCCCCTCCCACAGGGAGGGGGGCACTCCGCAGAGAGCTCCTGCCAGTAGCCGTCCCAGGCGGGCAGAGCAGGTGCATCAGTGACAGTCGGGGGCCTCCTCTCTGCTCCGGAGACTGAAGCTTTGTGATCCTGCGCCAGGTTCCCCCCAGGGCCCCGAGGATCGGCTGGCACAGGACTCGGGCCTCGCAGCCTGGGCAGAACCTCAGCTCCTCAGCAGAAGCTGCTTCTCCTGCACTGGGCCAGGACTGCCTCAGTTTCCCTTCTGCGTTTACCATCCCTGCATACCCCCACCCCTCGCCCCAGGCTGAGAGCAAAGGCACCTGGGAACTCTCAGAAGGCGCTCGGCGAGTGGGGGCTGCACAGGTCACCTTACCTCCTGTGGCCTGCCTGGCCACCGTGAGGGTCCTCAGAGGGGACTGGGTTGGGGGGCTCCCTTCTCCCCGCCCGCCCCATCCCCCACGACGCCGAGAGAATTGCAGACGCTGTGTCCTGCACCCCCAGTATGGTCCTGGGCCGCAGGTCGGCGAACTCCTTCTGTTAAAAGTCAGCTACCTCCCCCTGGGAATTCTGAGGCCAGTAAGGACTAGTGTGCCACAGATTCGGGTCTGTAATGTGAAATCAGCTAGCGAAGGTTACATACACTCGCGAGCATGGCCATGTTACAGAAAGCTATTGGGCCCATGCAAGTCTCAGGTGTCATGCAATACGATTTGGCTGTATACATTTAAAAAAAAAAAGGGTGCGGATCACTCCTGGCTGGCAGGCTGGAGGCAGACCGTGGCTTCCTGCCCTTGCTGTTGGACCCAAGTCAGACAGGAGGTGGAGTCCTTTCTGAACAACTCCCAGTTTGACCTCAGGCAAAGTCAGCTTCTGATGCCCGAGTCTCCATTTCCCCATTGACCTTGATGAGAATTAGAAATCAAAATCGAAGTGCAGGAACTCAGTAGGTGGGCTTGTTTCCCTTATGCATTTGAAAGGCAGAGCAACCGAGAGAGGGAGAGAGAGCCGTCCTCCATCTACTGGCTGCCTCCCCAAAAGGCCGCAAAGGCCAGGTCTGGACCAGGCTGAAGTCAAGAGCCAGGAACTCCACCCTGGTCTCCCATGTGGGTGGCAGGGGCCCAAGCACTCGGGCCGTCCTCCGCTGCCTCCCAGGCGCATCAGCAGGGAGCTGGATCGGAAGCAGAGCAGCCGGTTCTTGAACCAGTGCTCCCATATGATATGCCTGCTTTTACAGTCGAGGTTTAGATGAAGTGGGCAGTCGGAGGCAGCTTTTGCTCCTGGCATAGCCACACCAGTATCGCCAAGCTCTTCCCTCCAGGGCTCAGGGCACAGGTTTTCGTGTAAAATAAAGTCCAAAGGCCCGGCAAGGACACGCTCCTCTTTTTGGCTTTGGCATATGCCAGTCCCACAGGGCAGGGAGCAGACAGACAGTGCCCCCAAGGCAGATGCCTGAAAAGAAGCACAGACCACAGACCTGGGAGCTTAGAGACTGGGTTCAAGGGGGGGGGGGGGCTGTGCTGCTGACCTTGGCCTTGGAGAATGGCCACAATGCCCTGGAAGCCAGCCAGGCCTCGTTCTACCGTGGAGCTATTGTGATTACAACCTGAGCCAGAAGGGAGCTGGCTGGGCTCTGCAGAGACGGCGGTCAGCTGGGGCAGGTCCTCCCTCGGAATCCCTGTCAGCCCTTGTTGCAGACTGAAAGCCATGGAGATCTGCTCAATACAGTGTGGACCCTAGGCCTCGCCCCCCTGAGAGTGTATCTGTTTTAGGGGTGGGAGAATCCTGGGACTCCAAGTCACAAGTCAGGGCCAGCAAAACACAGCCACCGCATGCCACACCGGCATCCCATGTCAGAGCACAGGTTCTAGTCCCAGCTGTTCCACTTCCAATCCAACTCCCTGCTAATGCACCTGGGAAAGCAGCAGATGACGGCCCAAGTGCTTGGGTCCCTGCACCCACACGGGAGACCAGAATGGAGCTCCAGGCTCCTGGCTTCAACCTGGCCCTGGATGTTGTGGCCATTTGGGAGAGTGAATCAGTAAATGGAGATCTGTCACTCTTTCAAATAGAGAAAACTCCTTAGTAACAGCGGTCACCTCTTGCTAGTGAGGGAATGGTGATTTTTTTTTCTTTTAATTTTTTTTTTATTTGACAGAGTTAGACAATGAGAGAGAGAGAGAGAAGGGTCTTCCTTCCATTGTCACTCCCCAAATGGCCGCCACGGCCGGCGCTGTGCCAATCCAAAGCCAGGAGCCAGGTGCTTCCTCCTGGTCTCCCATCCGGGTACAGGGCCCAAGCACTTGGGCCGTCCTCCACTGCCCTCTTGGGCCACAGCAGAGAGCTGGACTGGAAGAGGAGCAACGGGGACTAGAACCCAGCGCCCATATGGGATGCCGGCACCGCAGGCGAAGAATTAACCAAGTGAGCCGTGGCGCCGCCCCCCTTTTTTCCTTTTCTAACAACCAGTATAATGTGTTTTTTAAAAAAGATTTATTTATGTATTTGAAAGAGTTACACAGAGAGAGAAGGAGAAGTGGGAGGAGGGCAGTCTTCCATCTGATGGCTCACTCCCCAATTGGCTGCAATGGCCGGAGCTGTGCTGATCCGAAGCTGGAGCATGAGCTTCTCCCTGGATTCCCTCACAAGTACAGGGCCAGACTGGCATCTCCACTGCTTTCCCAGCCCATATCATAGAGCCGGATCAGAAGTGGAGCAGCCGGGTTTTGAACCGGCACCTATGTGGGACGTTGGCACTGCAGGCGGTGCCTTTACCTGCTATGCCACAGCGCTGGGCCCTATAATGTTGTTACTTAGAAACAACTACCAACAGCATTGAGTGGACAGGGGAGCGGAGCGGGAGGCACAGCATCACTGCTCCTATGGAATAGAGAGCAGGGGCTGGAGCCAGCTAAGAGCTCTTGGCCCCGGGCCAGGATGGCTGGGGGCTGGACTTTCCTATGGCTCTGGATTCTGGAAAGTTCACTCTTCATGCCATCACATATACTGTGCTCACCTCCCTCCTTTTCTCTGTGGTTTTTCCAAAGCTTTCTGTTATCTCGGAAGGTGGGCTAAGGAGACTCCGAAGACGGCAAGCGTTGGGTCTCTCCCTGGGCTGGAGTCTGGGGAACGCACCGGCCTATCCGTAAGAACTGCTAGGTTTGGTGGCAGTCGCAGGAACCACAGGGAACGCCCAGTGCAGGAGGAACGAATCTTGGAGGACAGGCGTCATTTACATAGCTTTCCTTCCTTGGAGACCCTCTTTCTAGAGGGGTGGGTGTTTTTTTAAATAATTTTAAAAAGGTACATATTTTAAAGGCAAAATGAGAGAGAAAGAGAGAGGTCTTCTATCCACTGGTCCCCAAATGACCACAAAGGCCAGAGCTCGGCTAGGCTGAAGCCAGGAGCCTGGAACTCCATCCAGGTCTCGCATATGGGTGGCAGGGGCCCGATCACTTGGGCCATCTTCTGCTGCTTTCCCAGGTGCATTAGCAGGGAGCTGGATTGGAAGTGGAGCAGCCAGGACTTGAACCTCGAACCGGTGTTCAGATTGGGATGCTGGTGATGCAGGTGGCAGCTTAATCCACTGCACAACACCAGCCTAAAAGGGGTTGGTTAAAAAAAAAAAAAAAACCAACCTGGGGAACCGGTGTTGTGCCACAGCAGGTTAAGCTGGCATTTGCGATGCCAACATCCCATATGGGCACCAGTTTGAGTCCCAGCTGCTCCACTTTCCATGCATTTCCTGGAAATGTGCCTGGGAAAACAGCAGAAGATGGCCAAGTGCTTGGGCCCCTGCCACCATGTGGGGAGACCCGGAGGAAGATCCGGGCCTTGGCCTGGCCCAGCCCCAATGTTGCAGCTGTATGGGGACTGAACCAGTGGATGGAAGACCTCTCTCTAGGATCTCTCATTCTACCTTTCAAATACATAAATCTAAAAAAGAAAAAAAAATCAAAGCTGGAAGGCCTTGAGTTCTGTTTGTTTTTTAAAGATTCATTTATTTACTTGAGAGTCCGAGTTACACAGAGAGAGGAGAGGCAGAGACAGAGAGAGAGAGAGAGAGGTCTTCCATCTGATGGTTCACTCCCCTATTGGCTGTAATGACGGGAACTGCGCCGATCCGAAGCCAGGAGCCAGGAGCTTCTTCCAGGTCTCCCACGTGGGTGCAGAGGCCCAAATTCTTGGGCCATCTTCTACTGCTTTCCCAGGCCATAGCAGAGAGCTGGATCAGAAGAGGAGCAGCCGGGGCTAGAACCGGCGCCCATATGGGATGCTGGCGCTTTAGGCCAGGGCGTTAACCAGCTGTGCCACAGCCCCAGCCCCAGCCATGAGTTTTAGGAGAAGCTGTTTTCATGTCACTGTACACGTTGATCCCCACATGGAATTCCAGCCCCAAGCAGCAGCTTCCCAGGCACCGCTTGCCTCTGCCTGTAAGAGAAAGCAAGCATCTCGCCCGTTCCAAGAAGTCTGTGCCCCACCGCGGGGACGGAGGGTGGTGTGTAGGGGCAGGCAGAGCTTCACCCCATCAGAAGGGGCTGGACGCTCCAGAGCTGAACCCGGGACACTCTGTGCATGTCCCAGGCACCCCCTATTCAGAAATGGGTGACCCAGGAACCCCATCCCCGGGGGGCCCCTTCTGGAACCCATCGGAATCCAACCCTTGCTCCCCGGGTGGGGGGAAGGCTCCACTCCCTGGGAAATCTCCATCAAGGATGAGGCTTTGTTCACATGCTCTGCCAAAGGCACACACACCGGAGGAACAGGTGACAGCATGGAGCGCAGGGGGTGGAACTTTCAAAGCAAGTTGATCTGAACGTCCCATCCTCTGTGGGAGAAAGGACATTGGGACCCCTAAAAGCAAGAATCTAAGTGGGACCCCACAGCCGGCGCCACGGCTCACTAGGCTAATCCTCCGCCTGTGGCGCTGGCACCCCGGGTTCTAGTCCCGGTTAGGGTGCCGGATTCTGTCCCGGTTGCCCCTCTTCCAGGCCAGCTCTCTGGTGTGGCCTGGGAGTGCAGTGGAGGATGGCCCAAGTGCTTGGGCCCTGCACCCCATGGGAGACTAGGATAAGCACCTGGCTCCTGGCTTCGGATCGGTGCAGCGCACTGCCCGTGGCAGCCATTTGGGGAGTGGACCGGCAGAGGGAGGACCTTTCTCTCTGTCTCTCTCTGTCTAACTCTGCCTGCCAAAAAAAAAAAAAAAAAAACTAAGTGGGACCCCTATTGGTCACCCCTCCCCCATCCACTCCCACCCAGGAGAGGTTTTCCAGGACAACACAGGTTCGCTGCATCCACCCTGAGCCACACACAAGCGCGTATTTGAAAGTTAGCACTGTTTATTTAGTGTTGTAGGAAAATTTAGGTAACTTCTTACATGTAAAAATCAGAGATCCAAAATCCCCAAAGTAACAAGGCAGGAAATAATAACTCCCCACCCTTGGATACCCGCACTGGGTAGGGCCCTCAGCTAGGAGGGGGTTGGGACTCAACTCCCGAGCTCCTGGAGGCCAGGCCCCCCACCCCAGCCCTAAGGGATCATTCATCAGTAATTCTTAAAAGAAAACAAAAGGGCTGACCCGGGGAACCCAGGAGGGGGAGATCCCGCGTGTCCAGTTCAGGTGCCTCTCGCCTTCAACACGGAGCGCAGGTGTCTCTCGGTCCCGTCCCCCCGCCCCTGCCCCGGCAGGCTCCCACGCAGGCCAGGCTGCACCTCACAGAGCCTCATTCCCTGGACCTCTCGCGCACATCACGCGGGGGGCATGCAGGTGCTCGGCCCAGCTGAGGGCACACTGGCTCTCTCCTCCTCAAAGCCTTTCCTGGGCGACCCCGCCCCTCCTGAGCGCTCAAGGACTTGTTATCGTCAGCCGGACAACCTCCAGGTCAGGTACTTGGCGAGCCGGCTTTAGTTCCGCCAAGCAGCCGCCGCCACACGCCCTTCAAGTCAGTTGGCTTAATTCTCCAGAGTTCCCAAGTGGCATTTCAGGCATGGGGAAGTCACCTCCCTGGCCAGCAGTAGAAGATTCTGGACAAACCACCCCTCCAGGACCACACAGGTGCCCGTGCCCGCCCTTCAAGGGGGAGGGACGCCAGTCTAAGTGCACCTGCCCCTACCCGGCCTCCAGCACACTTGGGTTATCACAGTACAAATACATTTAACATCAAGTAAAAACATAACATGGAACAAATAGATAACATACATTTTCAGAGTTCGAGTGACTATACAGGTTTTTTTTTTTTTTTAATGGACATGTAGATAAGTTTCATAGCACGATAAAAGTACAAGGCATCTGAGAAGCTGACAGCAGCCCCCAGTACTGCGGGAGAGAATTCAATTAAATAAAATGACATTGCTGCTGATCATTAAAAGTGAATTAGACAAATCAAGTTATGGTTTCATCCTGCAGACTAAAGTGCTCTGAAATCCTGAAATGCAGTTTCTGCCACCGACCAGCCTGCCTCCTAACCGAAATCCGACAAGAGTGCAAGGGAGAGATTCTGATTCAACCAGCCCCGCCCCGCCCGTGCCCATGGCCCTGTGGAATCCTTCCACACCCCCGGAGACAGACAGCAAGAGCTGATGGAGCGCCTATCCCCACCGGGAAAGCCAGTGGGTGACAGCACACGTTCTCCTGAAATTTCCTGAGGAATCTGTATCAGCGCTGTGAGCTAAGGCAGCAAGTACCCTATAAAAAAGTGTGTTACCCTGGCTTTTTAAATACAGCAGTGCCAGTCCACACAGCATCTTCCTGCTCTTCTCAACGAGGCGCCTTCAAGCAGGTTAAGGCGGAGGCACATCTGGTTTGCAACTGGCTTTTGCCGACTGATGCACACAGCACTAAGCCTCAAATTGCTGCTCTCCCCACCCCACCCTGCCCTCCAGGAAGTGGTGTGGGCTTCCCTGCGAGCTGGCGGGGAGGTGCACAGGCAGAAGTGGCCAAGGGAAACCCCCCTCCCAGAGGAGTCTACGCACCCAGAGTACTGCTTTGGAAAGCGCCGGGCACTGCCTCACCCTGCCCCAGGCACGGAATGGGCCAGTCTGGGCCGGTCTGGCCAGCGGGGACCCTGCTATTGGGAGCAGGGGGACTGGGGCCGCACGCTTGGCTGCTGGGAAGATCCCTGGTCTGTTTCCACCGCTCCAGCAGAGAGAGGGGTCCCAGGACCTCTCTCCCACCAGAGTGGGAGTGCAGGGGAACTTGGGGTTTAAGGGAGCGGCTCTTGTGCTAACAGACACGCGAAGAGGGGTCCCTCAGCTCTCCTGCTCCAGTTAAAAAAATAAATAAATAAAATAAGGCCCAAGTCTGAGTGGCTTGGAAGGCTGATGTGGGATCAGGGTTTTCTGCATCTGCGGCCGAAACCCCCAACATCAAGAAAGGTCGTCGGGGGACACAGCACCAACTGCGCGGCCCTCTGATTTCACTCCGATGGCTGGAGGATACAGATTAGGGGGGAAAAAGAAAGAAAAATCTCCATATTAAAGAAAGAAAACCCCACAAGCAACGCCTCTCTGGCTCAGATCAGATCTGCTGACCGTGTCTCTGGTGAGCATAAAATATTTACAGCCGAGTTAAAGGCACGGTGGCATTTAAGACGAAAACCCCAGGAATGCACAGTAGAAGGAACCCGGCTCCCGGTGGCAGAGCCGGCCAGGGCGGGGACGGAGGCGGAGCCTCAGGTCGGCGGGGCGGAGCTTCCAGTCACATCTTGCCCGCCCTCCGGCCCGCCTGAGCCTGCGCGGGGATGCGGAGGATGTTGGGCGTCTCCTCCATGACCCTGACCAGCAGGTTGTCGATGTAGTCCTCCAGCTCGCGCACCTGGAACTCCTTCTTGCTTATGGTTTCCTTCTGCTTGAGGACCAGCTGGATCAGCTCATCGTGGGTCAGCTGCGCGTAGGCAGACGCGGGGTCCGAGGGGCTGTATTTCTTTGGGGCCAGGGGGGAGAGGGGGTGGAGAGAAAGGGAGAGCATTACAAAAGCAGCACAAAAATCAGATCTCTAAGATCTCTCCGAAAGGGTTGTTGACAGATCTCCTCTGAGAAGGTCTTCCATCCGCTGGTTCACTCCCCAACTGGCTGCACTGGCCAGAGCTGGGCCGATCTGAAGCCAGGAGCCAGGAGCCAGGAGCTTCTTCCAGGTCTCCCACGTGGGTGCAGGGGCCCAAGCACTTGGCCTATCTTCTCTTGCTTTCCCAGGCCATAGCAGAGAGCTGGATCAAGAGGAGCAGCTGGGACTTGAACTGGCGCCCATATAGGATGCCAGCACTGCAGGCGGCGACTTTACCCACTACGCCACAGCATGGGGCCCTAGAACTCTTTAAGAATGTAAAAATGACTTTAAAAAAGTCAGGGTGGTGATTGAGCTGTGGGATGGGACACCTGCACCCTGTGTCTCAAAGTGCCTGGGTTCGAGTCTTGTCTCTGCTTCTGATTCCAATTCCTGCTAAGACAGACCCTGGGAGGTAGCAGGTGATGGCTCAAATGTTGGGTCCCTGCCATCCACGTGGCAGACCTGGATTAGCCCAGCTCCAGCTGTTATGCTGGGCATTTAGGGAATGAACCAGAAAATGGGAGCTCTGTTTCTCTCTCCCTCTCTTTGCCTCTTAAATAAATATATACATACCCCAAAAAAGTGGTTTTAATGTGAAAACCATACTTGGTTTCTACTTGTGCCCCGAGGCGCCTGGCGAGCAGGCTGAGGCAGTCACATGACAGTGCCCACCTGTGGTCACTTCCTGTAAGAAAACTGAAAAGTTCACGAGGAGGAATGCATGCTATGGAAAGACTATAAGCAAGGTGCATCGCACCGAGTCTCCCCGCCAGCGGCTTTTCCTGAAACTGGGGGCGCAGGAGATTCATGAATTGAAAGAAACAGGATCCCTGGGGCAACCTCAAGACAGATTTTTGCCTGCAGCACTCTGGGGCGGTAACAGTGATGCTTGCCCTGAGGGGTAACAGTCCCACCTGCCTACCACGCAGGCTGAGGGAGGACCTGCTCCAAGGAACGGCCAAGCCGAGGGCCCCATCAACACTCACTCCTGCACAGCTGCACAGAGGCGTCCAGCAAGCCAGAATTCAGAGGAGGAATCCCATCCCCTCATCCTGGCCAGGAACTAGAGCTCCATGACCTCAGGACTGGCTTGGAAACACACACTGGTGTTTGCGTCCATATGCAGCAGGTTCCTTTCTTTAAGAGTTCCAGAGAGAGGGAGAGGGAGAGGGAGAGGTTCCATCTGCTGGTTTCCCCCAAAATGACAGCAACAGCCAGGGCCAGGCCGGGCCAGGCCAAAGCCAGGAGCCTGGAAATCCATCTGGGTTTCCCACGTGGGTGGCAAGGGTCCAAGTGCTTGGACCATCATCTGCTGCCTTCCCAGGTACATTAGCAGGGAGCTGGATGGGAAGTGGAGCAGCTAGGACTTGAACCAGCCCTCTCAGGGGACACCAGCATTGCAGGTGTTGGTTTAACCCACTGTGCTACAATGGTGGCCCTTGCACAGGGCAGGTTTTCACCCAACCCAGGCTGACCACAAACAGGTGAGATGTTTGACTACTTTGCCGGGACGGCTTCTCCCTTAACTGGTTAAAGGCAGAATTCATAGAGTGCCCCCTATGGACCTCAAAGCCTCTTTTTTTTTTTTTTTTTTTAAGATTGATTGATTTGCAAGGCAGAATGAAAGAGCGCAGGGACAGGGGGAGAGAGAGAGAGATCTTCTATCCAGTGGTTCGTGCCCCAGATGGCTGCAACAGTCAGGACTGGGCCAGAGCCAGGGGCCTGGAACTCCATCTGGGCCCCCGTCACCTGCTGCTGCCCCCCAGGACACAGGAAGCTCCACTAGGATTTTTTTTTCTTTTTTACACAGCTCTAATACTGATAATAGCATTTCCAATGTGTGTCCAGCTTTTCCGTTTAACAACAGATCGGGGGCGGGGGGGGGGGTCTAGCTGGCATCACTACTTTTAACTGGAAGTGTCAAAGCCGCCTTGATAAACAACATACTCCGAGTTGTCAATCATCAGTAAAGAATGGAGGCCCTGGAACGCTAACCAAGGAAACCAGTACCGCAGTCACCGATCCGGCCGGCGGGCGATCCGTAACTGTAGCTGGGCTGTGTCTTCCACAGCATTCCAGAGTGGGTATTTTGGTGCGTGCCGTTTGATGCCTTAGTACAAAGCACCTGTTATACGGCAGGCCAACAGCAGGCCTGCAGGAAATGTCCCCTACTTACAAGGCGGGGTCCTGGCTTAGAAATCTCCAGCAAAACAAGCAGCGGTTGCTTTTGCTTTGAGGCCGGTTATTCTCTTGGCCGGGGCCAGGAGATGAGTTCCTGATTAAACCAGCTTTGAAGAGCAAACGAAATGGGAGCCAAGGGGCCTGCAAACTTCCCGAAAGCAAGGTGTTTGCTTCTCCTTGGGGCCACAGCGCGTGCTCGTTCCTTTGAACACGGTTTCCTGTGTGCCATGCTTCTGCCCGATTTCCTGGTGAATAGCACTGATCTCTAGGAATACGGCTGCTGCCCCTTCTACCTGCAACAGCCACAGAGATGCCAGGCTGGGCTGGTCAACTTGGAGTGCACTTGGAGGCCGGGGCTGAGACGTAGCAGGTACAGCGCTCAGCCTGAGCAAGACCCAGCACCTGCACTGCCAGGGAAGAGAAGGCAACGGGGCCAGGAGATGCCGAGTCACCTTCTGCAACAGCTACTGGGCCTATTTTACCCAAAACCGGGATCTCTGATGACCCTTCAGCCCAGCTCCCCGCGGCAGAGGCACAAGGAAGCCATGAGGAATGACCACCACCCGGCACTTCTGAAACACTTTCAGGGGCTCTCGTTGTGGCACAGTGGGAAAAGTCACACTTGCAACACCAGCACCCCATACAGACACTGGTTCGAGTCCTGGCTGTTTCACTTCCGATCCAGCTGTCTGCTAAAGCACCTGGGAAAGCAGTAGAAGATGGCCCTTGCCCCAACCCACGTGGGAGACCTGGATGGAGTTCCAGGCTGTTGTGGCCAGCTGGGGAGTGAGCCAGTGGACGACAGAACTCTGCCTCACTCACTCTTTGTTTCTCTTCCTCTCTGTCACTCTGCCTTTCAAATAAATCATTTTGGGAAGAAGCTCCTGGCTCCTGGCTTCAGAACGGCTCAGCTCTAGCCATCTTGGCTATTTGGAGAATGAACCAGCAGTTGGCAGACCTTTCTCTGTTCCTACCTCTCTCTGTAACTCTATTTTTCAAATAAAATACATCTTTAAAAATAAAAATGCTTTCAGGGGCGGGCATTGTGGTGCAGCAGGTCAGGCTGCCACCCACGACGCCAGCATCCCAAATCAGAGCACTAGTTCAAGTCCTGCCTGCTCCATTTCCCACCCAGCTCCCTGCTAACGTGCCTAGGAAAGCAGTGGAAGATGGCACAAGTGCTTGGACCCCTGCACCCACATGGGAGACCTGGATGGAGCTCCTGGCTCCTGGCTTTGGCTTGGCCCAGCCCTGGCTGCTACAGTCATTTAGGGAGTGAACCAGTAGATGGAAGAACTCTTTCCTTCTCTCTTTCTCTCTGTAACTGCTTTTCAAATAAATATATAAATCTTTTTTTAAAAAAAGAAAAAGAAGCAAAACTATGAATGGTATTACAAAATTTGCACCAATCTTTTTTTTTTTTGTTTAAGATTTTGTTTGAAAGGCAGAGTAACAGGAAGGGGGAGGCAGAGACAGAGAGAGATGGTCCATCCGCTGGTCTACTCCCCAGATGGCTGCGTAGAGCAACGCCAGGAGCCCGGAACTCCAGCTAGGTCTCCCGCGTGGGTGGCATGGACAGAAGCACTTGGGCCACTTCTGATTTCCTAAGGGTGCTGGCATGGGCCTGGATCAGAAGCAGAACAGCCGGGGCTGGAAGCAGGCCTCTGATACGGGATGCCAGCATTGTGAGCAGCAGCTTAACCCGCTGCACCGCAGCACCAGCTCCGGTAAACTTCTCTGTCATTCCTTTTTCCCACCAACTTTGGTTCAGAAGCAAACATTACACATGCCTCTCTGTATGTACAGACGGAGAAAAGGGAGCCGGCAGGAGTGATAAAGCAAAATGGGTCAAGCGGTAACAGCTGGCGAATCTGGATGAAGAGTCTGTAGGAGCACTTTGTACTGTTCCTGCAACTTTTAGGCTGGACGTTATCTCAATGAAGGTACATAAAGCACACATCTATCAATAATTACCATGGAAGAATTAATGTTACAGTCTCGCTGAGCGATAAGAAAGGAAACACAGGAGAAAGAAGATATCTGACGGCCTGCATGGGTGAGCCCGTGAGTGCTATTCCCTGCTCATTAAGCAGAAGTGCCCGTGGCAATCACGGTGCCTAGGAGGCACCAGAGACTCCCCAAGAACGGAACAACTCAGGAAAAAAGGTGATGACTCGGGGTGGGGGTGGGGGTGGGGTCTCAGGGCTTCCAAAGACCCCAGAAGTGCGATTATGTAACTGCTGGCAAACCTACTGCCCGAGGAGGTGTATACAGGGCACTTCGAAAAGTCTGTGGAAAACGGGGTCCAGGCATCTGGAGAACAGTTAGGGGCTGCTCGGGTACCCACATTCCAAATCGAGGTGCCTGGCTTTGAGTTTCTGGGAGGCAGCAGCCATGGCTCTACGTCCTCGGGTCCTTGCCACCCACGTGGGAGACCTGGATTGAGCTCCTGGATCCCACCTTTTGGCCCAGCCCAACACTGAGTGCTGTGGGCATTTGGGGAGCGAATCAGTGGATAGAAGAGTTCTCTGTACCTCTGTTTCTCTGCCTTTGAAATAAAGGCAAAAAAAATTGTTTTAAATCTGTTTTCAAGTTTGTGGGAAAGGGAATTAAAAGATAAACTTATTTTGGTGCAAAAAAAGAAATGCTTTAAATGAATGTCTGCGTTTCCTGCAAACTGTTGGAAGGTCCCTGTATAATGGTGATCATTCTAGACAAGGGTGCTCCGTGGGTCTCTAACTGAAGCCACACCTTCATCATGGCTTCGTTGATCAAGTTCTCACTGATGATGGTGGCGGTTCCCAAGCTCGCGTGCGCACTCTTGGGGGCCGTCGTGTTCATTGGCTTCACAGGATGCAGCCTAAAGAGAAGGGGAAAGGGACACTTACACCTTTGTAGGGCTACAGCAAGCCAGAAACCGCCTGTCCCAAAGGCGGCCGCCGGATGAAGTCGAAAGGCACACTCTGGGCCCATTGTCTCGGTTCCTGCAGGGGGGGAGGCGGGCGGGCCCAGTGTGCAAGCCAGCAGGGCGCACTCTCCCGAGAGTCTCGGGGTGGCCTAGGTGTGGAGGCAGCTACAGCCCAGGCCTCCACGGGGCGAGGGACTCCCTGCACGGCCTCCTGGGCAGGTGCTGTAAAGGCACCCAGCCCAAACAGGCCAGCCGCTCCTGGCACAGCGCTGGCTGGAAGCCCTCAGTGCTGTGGGACTCTCCGGCCGCCTCTCGGACAGCAGCCCCGCTGCTGCTTCTGCAGTTCCAAAGCTCAGAACCTGGCCGTGCAGAGCAAGCCCTGCGGGGTCCCCACCACAGCGGTCAGCACTTCCAAACAGGGGTCCTGGCGGGAGGAGCCGAGAAGGGGTGGTCTCTCCGCGGGCACTCTCACCTGTGCTTGGCTGCCCCGCGGGCCGCGCCTGGCTGAGCTGGGAGTGGCTGTGTCTCCGAGGGCGACACCCAGGCCTGGAGGGGCGGCTTCCTCTTGCCGCAATCCACTTTACCCACGGAGCCCTCTGCTGCCGCTCTTTTTGGAGCTTCTGCCGTACTGGCGCGGTGTGTGTCGGGGGGCGGAGGGCTGGGGACGCAGCGTGCAGTGGACAAGGGCTCAGCAAGGCAGGGGCCAGGCACAGGCGAGGCCGGGCCGGGGCTGGGAGGCCTCTGCTCCTCCTCACCATGCACAGGGCGCGGAGCCTTTAGATCCACGCCCGAGCTCGGGCCGAGGGCGGGCTCCTGCATTCCGGAGGCCGCGGGGTCGGGGGCCTGGGGCGCATCCGTTCTGGGGATGGTGCCCTGGGAAGAAGCGCCCGCGTCCACAGCCACCTGCTCGTCCACCTGATCTACCCTCTCGTCGTCCGATGCGACTTCGGGAATGGAAGGCAAACTCAGGTTCAGCTCGGCCAGGACAGGTGCGAGGTCGCTCGGGGAGTCGGCTGGGAACCCCTGGCTGTCCCTCTCCGGGACGCTCGGTGCGCGGCGGGAGGAGAGAGCGAGGGGCTCCGGCCCGGCTGCGGCAGCAGACCCCGCAGCCCCGCGCTCCAGGCCGGGGACCCTAGAGGGCTGTGCCCCGCCATCAGCCAGGTCCCTGGCAGGATGCACATCCCCTCCCGCCTCCTCCTCCTCCTCCTCGTCCTCCATACACAGCTGCTCGGAGAATGACACACGCTTCTCTGTCCTCCCGCGGCCGGCAGGGACGGCGGGGGCCACATCTGTGCCACGTTTCTCCATATCCCTCGCGGGGGCCAATGCGGACCCCGGCGCTCCCGCTCCTCCGCCATCGCGGAGCCGGTTCCCCGCACGCAGTGCAGACCGACTCCCCAGGCCCGGGTCCCACCCCACGGGAGGCTCCTGGGCAGGGACATGAGCACATGGGGCCTCGTCGGCCTCCTCGGACGGGAACCGCACAAGCTCCCCCTGCTGCCGCGCCTCGTGCAGGGCGCTCCCGGCGGCAGCCAGGGTGTCCGGAGCGCGCGTCGAACTCTCCTTTGCCGAGGCTGTTCTAAGGGGCCCAGGAGGCTCGCCCTCGCCGGGAGAAGGCCAGCTCTGGATCGGGGTGGATGTGGAAATGGGAGCGGCTATGGGAGACCACAAGGAGGAGGAGGAAGAGATGGAGGAGGGCTCTGCTTCGGGAGGGGCCCGGGGAGAGGCTAGGGGCGAGCTGGGGGGAGAAGGAGGCCTGGCTTTGGGTGGCGCCTCTGGAGACACGTCCACTCTGCAAAATGACAAAATAAAATCTGCCGGTCAGTTGCAGATGCAGAGTGAGAGACAAAAAAAAAAAAGTAAAAGCTAAAAGGGTTTTCTGCATTTGGAGGCTCTCTCTTAAAGACGGCTAGGGAAGAGGCACCGACACGTGACACACAGAAGGGCACTTCTGTGACCGAGCGGGCCTGCCCCACAGAGCAAGGAAAGACCCAGGAGGGCAGCAGCCTGCGGTTTCTCCAGGTGACCACACACAAGCCCTGGCCTTCAACACCGTGAGTGGGGTACCATGAAGCAGCAGGCAGAGACAGAAGAGGAACCGTGCGTGCATGCACACGTCTGTACGTGTCAGGTCCAAGGAGGCAGAAGCTCCAAAAAACAAGTCTCTCGCCCCCAAGACCTCAGAAAAGCAGAAGCAGAAGCCTCAAGGGCACGCAGGCTCATGCAACCAGGGGCGGAGGAGGAAACACACAGAGAACCGTCGCAGGCACCAGCACCCCAGCACCAGGCATGCGCAAGGGTGGGCGGGCACTTGGCACAGCAGCTGAGATGCCACCTGGGACACTTGCATCCTACAGTGGCGTGCCTGGGTGCACTCCTCACTGTAGCTTCCTGCTGATATACACCCTGGGACGCCTCCCTCAGGGACGCCTGGGGCAGGCAGTGACCTGACAGGCCTGGGTCACAGCCACTCACGTGGGAGACCCAGATAAGAATCTGGCTCCCAGCTCCAGCTGCTGCAGGCACGCAGGAGTGAACCAGCAGATAGGAGAGCTCTGCCTGCCTGCCTCTCCCTCTGTGTGTGCCTTTCAGATCAACAGTGCGCAAGGACGTGCCTCCCTCCCAGGGAAACGTCCGTTGAGAATTTAATCGGCAAGGCTTCGGCACATGCCGCAGCGCACAGCTACTACTCCTGATCTGGACCGCTCCGGGCCTGCTGCAAATCACGCATTCCACTGGGATAGCTCATCGGACACAGGAGATGGACACGCCACGCCTGCCAGGCAGTGGCTCTGGGCTAGGGGAGTGTCAACGCAATTAGGACAGGCAGGCAGGCAGGCGGTGGAGTACCCCCGGGGGACAGTGCCAGGTTTGCTCCAAGGGCAGAAGGCAGGGCTTGCTGAGTGCCAGGCCACAAGGGCGGAAGGGCCCGGCGGGAAGGGGACCCACACTCACCGGGGCTTGACGGCCTTGGTCTGCAGCGCCCTCGGCGTGGGAACGGGCGGCTTTGGTCCAGCCTGGGACTCTGGGTCGGCTTCGGCTTCTGTAATCTGCACATCTTCAAAGGGGTTCAGGGCGTGGCCCTGAGCGGAGGCAGCAGCCGCAGCATCCCCCGTGGGCCCCAGCTTGCCCTCCTTCTCCTTGCTTTCGCCCTCGCCGCCCTTCGCTGCGTCCTTCTTTCCCGTCACCAGAGACAGCAAAGAGGCCTTCTTGCTCTCCTGTTTCTTGCCCTCCTGGGTTTCTCTTGCAGCCTCCATGCTGGCCAGAGCCCTGTCTTCCTGGGCATCCCCAGTGACTTGCGGTCGGTAGGACGGCAGGGTCATGGCCTTCCCAGCGTCCGGGGCGGGGGACTCAGAGAACCACCGGTCGGCAGCCGCCCCGCCTCCATCGCCAGGCTCCTTCCACGGCCTGGAGGCCAGGTTTTCGGTGGATGAGAACAGACGCTTCTTCCGGAAGCCCTGGGGGGATGGCGAGGATGAGGCGCTGCTGTCCTTGGTCTCGCTCCTGGCTTCCGGCTGCTCCAGGTACACGTGGCTCCCGTTGATACAGACGTTCGAGCGAGACAAGACATCATTTTTAGACCGAAGGCCGCCGAGGAAGGGGAGGCTGAAGTTGATCTGGCTCAGCTGTTTCGGATCTGCACTGGCTGTTCTCTTGTGAGACGTGACTGCGGGAGGAAAAACAAGGGGAGCATGGGGCGGGGTAAGCCAGGGGCTGCCGTCCTGTTTGGGGTCCCGGTTTGAGTCCCGGCTGCTCTGCTTCCGATCCAGCTCTCTGCTAATGCACCTGGGGAAGGCGGCAGTTGACGGCCCAGGTGTTTGGGCCCCTGCCTCCCATGTGGGAGACCTGGATGGAGTTTCTGGCTTCTGGCTTTGGCCTGGTCCACTTCTAGCTGCTGCAGCTATTTGGGGATCGAATCAGCAGGAACAGGGTTTGGCCAAAGCTGGGAGCTAGGAACTCAGTTCAGGTTTCCTATGTGGGTGGCAGGGGCCCAACCGCTGGAGCCATCACCACTGCTTCCCAGGTCTGCATGAGCAGCACGCTGGAGTCGGCAGCCAGAGCAGGCGTCAAACCATGACATGGGATGCAATGCAACCAGCAGCCTGAACCTCCAGGCCACACTCCTGCCCCTTGATACATATTTTTGTTTCCCTAAGACGTGCAGGGGGTGGTGGTACTGACATCTAGCAAACAGGTCAAATGCACAAGTAATTCAGAGTTAAGGGCATGAGAGTCCCTAGGTGCCATTAGGGATGTATCCCATGGGGTTGAATACTACCCGATGAATGAATGGAATATCAGATCTACCATAAGGTTCTAGGTTTTAGCCTTAAAACAACAACAGACAACTCGGGATGTACTCATTTGGTCAGCTCCAAAAGCTGGGACTAACGTGCATAAATTACAGAGCAGGACATTTTGGGAAGAGAGTTTATACTTTTTCAGAAACCGAAGGGCTCAGAAACAGAGTCAGGGGCAGGTGTTTGCACAGGGGTAGAGATGCCATTTGGGGCACCTGCATCCCACCTGAGAAGGCCGGATTCAAGTGCTGGCTACACTCCTGACTCCAGCTTCCTGCCAACACACACTCTGGGAGGCAGCAGGTGAGGGTGTAAGTACTTGGGTCTCTGCTGTCCATGGGAGAGACCTAGACTGAGTTTCCAGCTCCTGGCTTTAGCCTGGTCCAGCACCAGCCATTGTGAGCACTTGGGGAGGGGGAGTGAACCTGTGAATGAGAGCTCGCTCTCTCTCTCTGCCTTTGAAATAAATAATTTAAGATTTATTTATTTATTTGACAGGCAGAGTTACAGAGAGAGGGAGAGACAGACAGAGAGATCTTCCATCTGCTGGTTCACTTCCCAAATGGCCACAACAGTCAGGGCTGGGCCAGGCCAAAGCCAGCAGCCAGGAGCTTCTTCTGGGTCTCCCATGTGGGTGCAGCCACCTTCTGCTGCCTTCCCATGAGCATTAGCAGGGAGCCGGATCAGAAGTAGAGCAGCTGGGTCTCGAACTGGTGCCCATATGGGATGCCAGTGTTGCAAATGGCTTAAAAATGCTGGCCCCAATAAATAAAAATTTTAAGAAAGAAATCGAGTTGGCCTCTTTGCTGAGATTACCCGTCACCATCATCATTTTAGGGACTGGGGAGCTGAATAAAGATCTCCAGATTGGTCTCCCTCTCAAAGCACAATGGACGAGGGCAGAGAGACCAGGGGCGGAGGAGGCAGGGACTCACCGTCGGCGGCAGAGGAGGGCTCGTCCTCATCCTCATCGCCCCAGCGGGACTGCAAGTCCCCGGGGCGCAGCAGCACCTTGTCCGGCTTCGAGGTCGGCAGGACAGACATGGACTGGGAGAGCGGTGTCTTCTGCAGGTTCGACTTGGAAAACAAGGTCTTGATCTTGGACTTCTTCTTCTTGTCTTTGGAAGGAGCCTCGTCGTCGCTGTCCGCGGAGGCCATCGTGCTGGGGACGATGGCCGAGGCGGTGTCGGAGGCGCTGTCCTTGCTCTTGCCTTTGATCTTGTCCTTGAGCTTCCCGAATGGGTTCCGAGACTTGTCCTTCACGGACAGGTCGAACATGCTGGCCGTCATGCTGTTCCTCATGAACTGGATGTCCACCTCGATCTCCCCTCGCTCCTTGTCCTGCTTGCCAGGCTTGGATCTCAAACGGTACCACCTAAAGGGAGACAGGTGAGGGGTCACCTTGGGACAGAAGTGCCCGAAACAATGCCCCACCTCCCAGTGACGGTCCCTCCTCTCTGCTCTACCAACCTCGTACACACACACACACACACACACACACGAGTTAGCCTTTCTCTTTACCGGCTGAGGGCAGAACCTGTGCTGTTATTTATTTATTAAGATGTATTTATTTATGTATCTATCTGAAAGTCAGAGTTAGAGAGACAGAGACAGAGAGAGATCTTCCATCTGCTGGTTCACTCATCAAGCGGCCGCAACAGCCAGGCCAGCAGGAGCCTGGAACTTCGTCCAGGTCTCCCACGTGGGTGGCAGGGGCCTACACACTTGGGCCATCTGCTGCTGCTTTTTCCCCAGGTGCATTAGCAGGGAGCTGGATTGGAAGTGGAGCGGCCAGGACATGAACCAACGCCCATACGGGATGCCGGTGTTACAGGTGCCGGCTTTACCCGCTATGCCACAGTGGTGGCCCTGAGTTCTCATTTCTGAGACGGCAATGACGACATCTGATGTACTACTTAGTGTATGATCCCCTAAAACCCTGATTCAACAAAGAGCTATTTCTAAAGATAAAGAGACAGACATTCCATCAAATCACTTCTGATCCATGTATGTTTCCTCAACAGAGTAAGGACGCAGAGATTATGCGCAAACAGCTAAGAAAGTGGCACTGGAGCTTACAGGTGGATCTCAGAGAGGGACAGGTACTGAGCCCTTCAGTTAGGTGCCTGCCTCCCACTGCACAGTACCTGGGCTTGATACTCCGGCTCCTGACTGCGGCCGCCCAGCAATGCAGACCCCAGGAGGAGGTGAGATGACTCCAGTCACTGGGCTCCTGCTACCCCATGGGGGATGCAGATTATGTTCCCAGCTCCCAGCTCCGGCCCCTGCCCAGCCCCAGTCATTGAAAGCATTTGGGTAGTAATCAGCAGATGGAAGATACTTTCTCTCTTGCTCTCTCTTCTTTAAAGAATAACTGAAAAAGACACAGTTAAAAATGAAAAAAGGTGGGGGGGGGGCTGGCTCTGTGGCATAGCAGGTAAAGCTGCCACCTGCAATGCAGCATCCCATATGGGTGCCGGTTTGGGTCCCAGCTGCTCCACTTCTGATCCAGCTCTCTGCTATGGCCTGGGAAAGCAGTAGAAGATGGCCCAAGTCCTTGGGCCCTGCACCTGCGTGGGAAACCCAGGAGAAGCTCCTGGCTCCTGGCTTCGATCGGCAGAGCTCCGGCCGTTGCAGCCAACTGGGGAATGAACCAGTAGATGGACAACCTCTCTCTCTCTCTCTCTCTCTCTGCCTCTCAAGCAAACTGATTTTTTTTTAAAGGTTTTATTTATTTGAGAGTTAGAGTTACAGACAGAGAAAGGGACAGAGAGGTCTTTTATCCACTGGTTCACTCCCCAAATGGCCACAACAGCTGGAGCTGGGCTGATCTGAAGCCAGGAGCCTCTTCCAGGACTCCCATGCAAGTGCAGGGGCCCAAGGACTTGGGCCATCTCCTACTGCTTTCCCAGGCCACAGCAGAGAGCTGGATTGGAAGTGGAGCAGCCGGTACTAGAACTGGTACCCATATAGGATGCCAACACTGCAGGCAGAGAATTAACCTACTGTGCCACAGCACTGGCCCCGCAAAATTAATTTTAAAAAAATAATAAACATGGGGCCAGCTCTGTGGCAGCATCCCATATGGGCACCAATTCAAGTCCTGGCTGCTCCACTTCCAATTTACCTCCCTGCTAATGGCCTGGGAAAGCAGTGAAAGATGGCCCAAGTGCTTGGGCCCCTGCACCCGCATGGGAGACCCTGAAGAAGCTCCTGGCTCCTGGCTTCAGCCTGCCTGGCTGTTGCGGTCATTTGGGGAGTGAACCAGCAAATAGATGATGTCTCCTTTTCTCCCTCTCTCTGTGTGTAACTGCGCCTTCCAAAGAAGTAAACGAATCTTTAAAAAATAATAATAAATGTGTCATAAAGTGACAAATACAACATAATTCCACGTACATGAACTACTCCAGGTAGTCAAATTCGCGGAGACAGAAAGCAGGATGGTGGCTGCCAGGGGCTGGCAGGGTGGGAAATGGGAGTCAGTGTTTGAGGGGCACAGAGCCCGAGCCGGAGACATGGAGCAGTCCTGGCGGTGGACTGGTGGTGCCAACCACACGAGGATGCATACGGGTGTGAGGTCACAGCTGTGCACCTAAGACGGCTCCCACGTGACTTTTATGTTACGTGTATGTTGCCGCAGTAAAAGACAGGGAGACACTGGAAGGCAAGTATTCTTCCTTAGCCGAATCATTAGAAAAAGGGGCAATGCAAACCTGATTCAGATATCTCACTCGGCCACTTGCAAGCAACTGCAGCACACGCCACAAGGCCACCCCAACCCACGGCGTCCACCTTCCTGGGAGCCCAGTAGGTATCTTCGGCAGACCAGAGGGGAACGTGTGCTCCACCAAGGCAGGACCATTGGGGGCCGAGCACCTGCCCGGCCTCCGTAGGCCTGGCTGCCCGCTACCTCTCAGACTCAGAACCCACATCCTGACATTTTTTCAGTGACCTACTTTGCAAGAGCCGAGGGCCAGACTTTAAGGAAATGATGGTTTTGCCCACATGAGCACAACTTCCTCTTTCACCTTCAGCAGGGGCTCGCTCACAGGGCAGGTCAGGGGGGACAGAGGAGGGTAGAAACCTCACCCATCCACAGCACCCATGGCACACCTGGCACGGTGCATGTACGGCTCCAAGAATGGCTTGGGGTGGACAGCGTACCCACTTTACAGACGCGTACACTGACACTCAGAAGTTAGATTCTTGGATCCTAGGCCTTGCACACTGCTATGGGGACGGCCAGGACCCCGCATCAGCTCTGCATTTCCCCAAAGCTCCTGCTCCTTCGCATCCACCCAGATTCCCACCGTAACTTAAATCCCCTCGTTTGTCTTCCATGGCCCATCTTTTGGAACACAAGGAGTGGAGGGCTCACCGCTCAGTTCCTTTTGAGGAGAGTTTGACTTTCTCATTTCAATTTCTAATTTCAGGGACAGCTTTTCGGGTTTCACAAAAATCTTCGGGTGGGGGAGGGGCGCGACGGTCCCAGAAGCTAAAAGGTCCTCTTGAACAGCCCCCAGGCAACCCCATTCTCAGGGACCCGGCCTGGGATGGTTTGCATATTTGTCGGTTAGATGCTGAGAGGATTATTTGTATTTTTCCCCTCTGACCGGGCACGTGGTACACGGTTGCCTTGGCGATGAAGGGTGTTTGGCTTTTGTAAACACCCGTTGTGGGCACTTGAAAGGAAAAGGTGTGGAAGTGAAGACGCAGGCTCAGATGACCTAGTGGGCAGGCGGCGGGGATGGCGGAGACAGGGACGCCTAGCCAGCCTCGCCCGCCCGTGCAGAAGCACCCCAGGCTCCTTGGAGGCGGCTGTCAGCTGGTTCCTGGGCTCAGGGCTGCTTCCCTCAGAAAGGACTGATGCCCAGGTGTTGTATTCTGAAGCTACAGCCCACCCCAGGATCCTCGCCACCTGCTGCCGAGGTCCAGCGCCCAGGAAGCCCAGTGGGATTGGTTCTGGAAACGTCTAACACCAGCAGGAGGTGCCCAACAGAAGCCTGGCAGAATCTTGCTGCTTATTTTCCCAAGCAAACTCCCGGAGCCGCAGGGCCTGGCTGCGGGAGGGTGGGAGATGCAGGCTGAACCTCAGGCCGCTGAGCGTCCTGTGTGAGCGCTGGAACTTGAAAAAGCGCTTGCTACAGAGGTGTCATCTGTGTCTGCGGTGTTATCCTCATCCTGCGGAAGGACACGTGACAGGGGCGGGACCTGCTGAGCTGACTGAGATCCATGTCCGGGAAACAGCTCTCCGCGAGACATCCCGAGCTGCAACGCGGCGGTGGGTCTGAGCGTTGAAGATCGGTTCGGCTTTTCCGTTCCTGCACCCCACGGACGCGGTTCACAAATAATGAGCTCCCCACGTCACCCCCCTGCAGCATGTGACGGCAGCCTGGGCGTGCCCACCACTGCCTCTCCCCCAGGCCCAGAAAGCTTGGGTTATCTCCGAAATCAGGGTTGGGTCCGAGTCCCTGGTCCAAAGGGCAGGGTGCAGAGAGAAAGCCATAATCCCGAGGCAGCAAGTTTATTTTTAAGCCCATATTCAGAAAATATCCTGCAACCTACCACAGACACGCAAAAACCAAAGGGTCCTTGTATATAAAAAATAATTACTTTGGGGGTCGGCGCCGTGGCTCACTTGGTTAATCCTCCGCCTGCGGCACCGGAATCCCATATGGGCGCCAGGTTCTAGTCCCGGTTGCTCCTCTTCCAGTCCAGCTCTCTGCTGTGACCCGGGAAGGCAGTGGAGGATGGCCCAAGTGCTTGGGCGCCTGCACCAGTGTGGAAGACCAGGAGGAAGCACCTGGCTCCTGGCTTCAGATCAGCGTAGCTCTGGCCATAGTGGCCATTTGGGGGGTGAACCAACGAAGGAAGACCTTTCTCTCTGTCTCTCCCTCTCACTGTCTGTAACTCTGCCTGTCAAATAAATAAAATAAAATAAAATAAAATTACTTTTAATTAAAACTCAGTCCTTCGGAAATTAAAAAAGGATCTCTGACTATGTAGAAAGTAACAGAGAAATTTAGATGAACGATGTTTTTAAGTACTAAGAGGCATAGGGTAATAGTCAAATCACACAGAGTGGTATAAAATGGAAAGTCCAGTCTTCCTGGTCCTCAGGCCTCCTTGCAGAGATACTGCTGTTATCAGGGTCATTCCCTTCTAAGTGACAGCCAGGGCATAAACAAGCAAAAATGTCCCTTATCTAAATAGGCTGCTCCTTTTTGGTTTAAGTGTGTTTTTTTTTGGGGGGGGGGTCACACATAAGATACGGCAACAGCTAAAATATATACAAAATGTTGCTTAAGTCTTGTAGACTTTGAGAAAGATGTCTTACAAACAGAAATAAGGGAATGTGTGTGAGAGCAAGAGCGA